GAGAAAACACTAAAGGAAATGCTTGTTGGGCAAAACAAATTGTGATTACACTCTTCGTTTGAAGGGAGGTATTCTATTGATTTGAAGGAAAATGCACTACCTTCGCATATAGGATAAAGAAGAGTTCATATTATTGATAATAATATGGCACTAATGATATTAAATTATGTAACATGTAACTAATGCTAATAAATAAATAAAAACCTATGTTATTGAATCTAACATGTAACCAACCTTGTTAAATCACTACCATGAATTTTTTTGCATCCAACTCTAGGCTCTGCCTTTACTATTGAAGGAAGTGGCCATTGTAACCTCCTAACAAGCATTTCGTGCTCTCCATTAAAGCTTTTAAGAAGCTTGATGATCTTCACTATAACATCTTGGATTTCAATTATGAAAATTTTTAGTGTTCATGAGGGTATTTTGGTCAAATTAAGTGAATTATTAATTCATGATGTTTTTTGGAGCATTAATATAGTCTTTAAATTCTTAGACAGCCTTAAAAGAGGATTAGGTTGGAGTTCAAACAGGCCATAGCATGGAGAGCTATTCAAAAGGTGTGTGGGACTCTTTGTGCCACGTAATGTGACGAACGTGCTAATTTGTTATGGTGCATGTGCAAAATCTGCACTTATCAAACTTGCAAAACTAGACCAAAATCAGAAATGGGAGAAGAGAAAATGTGAGAAGCCGACGAGTAGTGACTAGTAGATACTAGGGCTCAACCTTAAAATTAGTTTGGAAGTATTTAGAGTAAGATTTATCTTTAAGTAAGCTTCCTACACCTTTTCCTCTCCCTTTATGCGAATTTTTTGAAGTTGGGGTAATGTAGGACTTGATTTTGGTTGTTCTTGGATAATGACCGAACCCATTACCTTAGTTAAGTTATTGAGAAGTTAAATCAAGCCTCTAAACTTAGATTTATGGATTATATAGTGATTTGAAGTCTTTAGGTAGAGTTTGAACAAACCTATTGCCTTAGTTAAGTTATTTGGGTGTTAAATAAAATTAATGAAGTGTGTTGAAAGAATTGATTGGATTAAATTAAGGTTTTGGGTATAATGGGTACTTGAAATTATGTTAAAAATAGGGTAATTGGCATGTAGATTAATGATTAAAAGTTTAATCTTATAGATTAATTGTTGATCAAGCATTGTGATGTTAGTGGACACGTGTGAAGCCATTATTTGACCATGATAACCCTTTTAGTGATAAAAGGATTGAAGTAACTAAATTGTCTAAACTCTTTATTTACGTGTTTAGATGGTTGTGTGTGATGACTTTTAAAAAAGCTAATACTTTTATTTTATACTAGTATAGTATTAATATGAAATGATTGTGACTTAGAAACTAATGTGAAGTTGAATGAAAATTTGCATTTTGAATATTGTGAATTTGGAAGACTAAACCTTATATTTAAGTGTAATTATTTGTGAAATTATATGGTTTTAGTGGAAACTCACTTGTTATGGTTATGTGTGGAAATGATTAAAGTGTGAAAACTATATGTTATGGCTCTGTGGAATCACTAAGCATATTTGGCATGATCATTGTAAGAGGGTAAGAGTTCACCCTAATATATTGTTGGAAACATTGTTTGAAAGTTCATATGATACACTAGAACCGTAAAGGCCTCGATTCTCAATATTATATTGTTTGAAAGTTTCAGTATTACGTGAGATAGATTGGGCATCGACACCCCTAACATTTAATAACAAGGGGAATATGTGGTTCATAGTGGGCAAAGGTGCTCTTAGCCGGGGTTGCTTTTTATTATGGTGAGCTTAAGCCAATTTGGTCACATAGATTTGGTTTTATTGAGTTGTCAGTCCACAGATTCAGTCAGAAGATATAAGGAGGGTATAAGGTGGTGTGTTGATCATGTATATCATTCTATAATCATATGTATGTTTGTATAGCTTGTTATATGTTTTAAATGAAACTTGACGTACACACTATTTATTCTCACACACTAGTAGTTTGTTTAAACTATTTTGTTACTGAGTCCTCAACTCACCCCCATAATTATATTTTATAAGTGAAGGCTCTGATAGGGGCAAGGAGAAGAAAGGTAAAATCGAGCATCGAAGGGACTAGCTAGTGTTTGTATAGTCCTTTCTATTTCCTTTGGTTTTGTAACGAATGATATATGCATATGCTAACTCAAGAGTCATATGTTATTTTGAGAAGCACTTGCATGAATTCTGTTGTGAAGTGGGTATCTCCACCTGGGATGTTGTTTTTGTGTTGTAATGGCTGTGAAAGGTTGAGATATTAGTGCAAGTATTATTTTATGTTGATTCATGTAATTGTTTGGCTATTGGAATGATTATTGTATGTATGTTACCCCTTATGGGATTTATGCTAAATTATGGTTTGGATGGCCAAATCTTATTTGAGATTTTGTTGTTGTGGTTTGAATGCTTGTACATGTTGTTTATGGTTTATTTAAGTTAAGTCAAGTGGTTCCATGATTATTAGCACTTGGTATGTGAGTTTAGACACCTTAGTTGTTGTTTTGAAAATAAAATGCACCATTTTGAATTTAGGTGTTCAAATTTCATTTAGTTTATTGTTTGGGTGTGAAACTAGTGCCAATAGCAAGGTGGCTCTAAAAGCTACATGTGAACACTTGAATCATTTCAGTCAGATGTCGAATGGTGATTTAGCGCCCTTTGAAAGTTGATCCGGCGTGCTATCATGACAGTAAGTGCGCGTCGCGGCCCATGATGGTTGCACCACAGCTCAATGACTAACAAGAGCCTTCGCTCTTTGTGCCATCTGCCACGGTGGACAAGGCTAATTTTTAGGAAAATTTTTGAATTAATTTAATATTGTTTGTATGTGATATTATTGATTCCCATGCTTCTATTACCTTATTCAATCGGTTTTAAAACATAGTTTGAACTCAAATGAACTTTTTAAAAACGGTTTTATCAAGATCCAATTTCTTGAACTTCTTTCTAACTCTTAAATTATGATAGCCTCTTATAAGGAATTTAAATATCCTGGTTATCATAATGGTGTTTTGTGTGTTTGGTATTATCAAGAATGATATTACATTTGCTACCTTAGCCATCGTCAGGGAGACTTCTTTCCCAAGTTCTCCCTTTTGCTCCTAAGGTCTTGCATGTGGTTGCTACCTTGTTATTTTTTCTTTTGTTGTCCCCATTTTTTAACTCATTGCTTATTCTTTTTTTTAGCCACATTGGTCATTGAAATTGCCAACTCATTTTGATTAAAACAAGTCAACATTTCTATTAACACCGATACGTACATCATTATCCCTTTGGAAATATTTAAAAACAGAGGGACTGACATTGCATGTGGATAAAACAAGAGGGAGCTAAATATTTAAAAAAAATATAAGGATCAATAACAAAATATGAAAAACTATAAGGGCATATGTTGTGTTTCCCAAAATAAAATAACTTCTAAAATAACCAAAAGTATATTTATCTCAATTAGTTTTTAAACCTAAAAAACTATCCATAAAAACTTCAAAATGTAAGTTTAAAGTAGTTTTTTATGATAAAATGAAAAAAAGAAAATGATAGTAATGTCCTAAATTTGTTTTAATACTAATTGATGGAGGAAAGGGAAAGGAAAGGAAGGAGAAAAGATAAAAGAATAAAGATATATCAAGGAAATGAGTTAATGTATTATATATAAGCCTCAACGTAACCCTAGAATTAATAATAAAAATGTTCTAGAAATTTAAAATAAATGAAAAGTTAACAATAAATGATGAGAGATATCAATAATTCAAATGTTACGACAATCAAAAATAAATATTCTTAATTAATAAAAATATCCTAATTAATAAAATATTTTCAATCTTTCAATCTTATCAAATCTTCAATTTCGTCAAACATTTATTTTTCTTTTTTTCACATCATTAGTTTTTTGATGATTTTTTTAAAAAAATAAGTTGTAAGTATTGATTCACATAGTTGCAACTATAAATCAAATCACAAACTAAGAGTTAAAGGTGAGTATCAATCGGTTTGATGCAAAAATACAAAAAATTGATAGATCGAAAAACATTTAAAATTTAAACTGAATTAAACTGGACTAGAATTGAACCAAATTTTTATAATTCAGTTCAATTAGTTAATTTAGTTTTGGACTTTATATTGAGTATTTCTAGACATATGTTACAATTTTTTACCCATTGTATTTTTTTTAATAAAAAAAATGAAGGCATCTATTTACATAAAAATGAGATTAGATCAATATGGACCTTGAACCCCTCCCCTTCTATAAACTTTGTCATGTCTTCTCAAACTGATAAAGGTCGATATTATATATATATATATATATATATATAATTGACTTATAAACAAATATGAAAATACTTAGCCGACATAAGTTAGAAAATACTATATGAATTATACACCTTTTAGGGTTTCAGGCATATAAATTATTTATATATTTACTTTTTAAAAGCATAAAAAATGAAATAAAATAAAGTAATAAACTAGATGTATAATTTATAAGTTAACAATATATATACATGTATTTACGATAATTTGGTTGAATTGGTCTATTTAATTTTAGAATTTGCAAACCATCAAGATTTTCTAAAATAAAAAACCAAATCGAATTAAATAACCGAATAGATTAAATTAAATAGATCAAGCTCAATTTGATTTTATTTGATTTTCGGTTTTAGTTTAGTTTTGCTCACCTTTATTAAGAGTTAGATTTAAAATTTAAATTTTTTATTTGTAATTAGTGCCCCTGAATTTGTACTTATTTGAATCGGTCTTTGTAACTTACTTTTTTTAAAAAAATTTGTCAAGAATCTGATTGCCATTAATTCCCACTTTTAAGAGATACAAAAATAACTTACCCTCAATCGTTTGAACGTTTCAAATCTTTAAAAGAACAGTAGCATGCTATCATCTTATTGATATAATAAAAGAAGTAATTGTTTTCATATGTTTGGAAGATGAAAGATAAAGTGATGCACTGACAAAACAAGGTGAGGCAACAGATTCATGACGTGCGTAGGCACAGAAAACATAAAAAGTGATCGATCTGTATATGATTGATTAAAAATCAATGCTATTCCCCATCCACGACCGAATCAATCATCCTTTCACACTTGTGAGACCCATGTATGCTGCTGCACTCTTAAGCTCAGAACCACGCTCAATATGATGACACTTTGCTTCTGTCAGTGATGATTCCTTACTGCCCAATAACATCATATTCATATTTAATAGTAGTTCAAATATCACCAAAAAAAACGATAAAATTTTAAAAAACATATGTAGCAAAGGTGAAATATCCACGTACGCACCTTGACTCACATGGTTCTTCTCTGTATTCGATAAATAATTGCCTGTCATCTACCATTACATTATAAGGATTAATATCTTCATATTCAACCGTGCCCATTTCTGGTTGGTTGGCTATGAAATCAGATGATGGTACAGCCATGGAACTGAAGGATTGTTGAAGACCAAACACTTCACTTCCACCTCCACCATCAAAGGTAACAACTTGGTTGTTATTGAGATTAATATTATATTGCAAATAGTTCGACACGGACAAGGTATCTGTACTAAAAGGCATTGATTCTGTTACTGGATGAGAAGGAGAGATTTGATGAGAAACATGACAGTGCAATTGTTGTTTGTGAATGGCAAGCCTGAGTTTCAGATAACGCAGCTCTTCCATGGCCGCGAGTATCTGATTATTGTAGTTCCATGTGAGGCCTAAACAACCCAGAACAGGAAACTTTTCTCGCATATCGGATTCAAAGATAATAGATGTCATGGCTTCATCTCTTTTCCTGGGTTCTACCTGATCCAGAATCTTCTTGATGTTGGCGACTCCAAACAAACGGTGAGCATTGCTGAACTTTTTAGGTTGATCTGCAGGGAAATAAGGAGCCAAAGGGCACTCTTTTGTGCATCGTCTTCTCTGATACTTACATGCAGCGCAGGCCTTGTTCGAGCCTCCTTTAATTGTCATCATAAGCCAGGTAATAATAATACATAGTCATGCGTCGGTTATGGATGATCAGATTCTGAAGGATTTTCAGGTATATGAAGTTGATATACCTATGGTGAACTCTGACTCTGGTGCAGGTGGTGGTTGTGCTCCAGCATGCTTTTATTGAGATCCCGCGACCAAGTAAAACACCATACCTATTCAAAAGGAGATTTTTTTTTTTAAAAGTAATATACAAGAATAAATTTAATTTGTTGAAATCATTTACTTTTGTTGCATTCATGCTGCCTTTACCCACTAATTTAATTTTTAAAAACATACTTCAATAAATACCTCCTTATTTACTTTTTAATAACAATCATATATGATCCATTCGATGCTGGCAAAAGAAAAAAAAATTGATTCATTCGTTAAAATATTTTATTCGTTTAATTACAGTTAAGATAATGATATAAAGTAAATATAAAAAATCCCATGTACAATTGTGTAAATATCTGTATTATTTATAAAGGATGTGATATTTTATAAATATATGAATAAGGAGAACTAATTTTAATATGAATTTTATATTTTACATTGATATTTTTTAAATCGTATGAAATTCAATTTCAATACACCAAATTAAATTAAATTAAATATAATAATATTAATTAGTATTAATTTAGACTGTTAGTTGTAACAAATTTAGAATGCTGTTTTTAATACCTGAAAAGTTTTTTTTAATAGTTATAATCATATATGGAAAGATGATTCCTATTTATAAATGTATATATTATTGATATTGATTTTATTCTAAAAAGTAAAACCCTCCTAAAACACATCCTACTGGTTTTCTAATTTAAAAGTTTAGCACTAAATCTGATTTGATATATCTATATCTATATCTATATATATAATGATGATGATGATAATGTTGTGTATTTATTTATATTAAATCTATCTCTGCATGATGGAGATGTGTGGCTAGTTTTTTTTTATTTTAAGAATCTATCTAGATTTTCTATTTTGTGAGTAGTTAGTTAGTTACTCGGAGGGAAATATACAGGCAGTAAAGACTCTCCAATCTCCACACACGCAATTAGAAAGAAGTTATGCAACGGTAGGGTTTAAGATGAAGTTTTGACTTTCTCTGCATGCGTGGTGAGTTTTAAATTATTTATATTTTTCATGAAAGTGAAAAGTGAAATCATTGAAAAAGAGTTTTTAATTTCTTGCATTCATTAAAAAAAATGAAAGTGTAATTTTTATATGTTACGATGATAATCAGATCGTTGGATACATTTTAATTTAAAAAAAAATTATATACTTAACTTTATGTACTTTAATTACTTATTTTTAATTAAATTAAGAGATATGTATCTATTATAAATTATTTATTCTATAATAATTTTTTATTATTAATATTATTAACATATTAAAATTTATTTATCTTGATTTGATTGAATGAAAGTATATTAATTACATAAAAGTAAGTATATAAATCTTGCCCTTTAATTTAATATTTTATAATTTATAGTAATAGTAATTGAAAATGTTTATTCCCATAAAAACTGATCGATCAATTCAGTTAGTCTGGCGCACCAGAAAGGGATGACGTGTTGTGTAAGAAATTATGCGGGTGGACGTTGTGGGCTTCAAGGTCTTGACAACTTTTTCTCGACACAAATTCTTGCTCTTTGGTATTTTCGCATCGCATTTAGCTGCTTGCTGGAAAATTGAATTCTCTAAATATGGGTTCTTCTGATTAAAAAAAAGTCAATTAAGAAGAATCTTTCTTAGCAGAAAACCCGAGTTGTTTAAAAAATGCTTCGAATAATTCAAAAAATCAAAAGAATATTTATTATAGTATTTCATTTTGGCTTAATTAAAAATAAACATAAGAATATAGTTTTTTCTTGTTTGCAAAGTTCTGACTTGGGAGAATGAGATTTAAGGCGCTCTCAAGAGACTTCATAAGCCCATTAGGCATTAGATATTATTTAAAAAAAACACGTATTTCTTATTATTAAAAGTTAAACCTTAATTTATATTTTTGTTTAGGGCCTTAATTTATATTTTTGTTTAGGGTTTTCTTAACTTATATTTTTTTGTTAGGGTTTCCTCATAAAATTAACAAGTTAATGTTTATTTTTTAACAATAATACATATGTGTTTTTTATAAAACAATATCCTATGCAAAATTGATGAGTTTTTATTGTGATAAATTTAAGCTTTTTTTGGTTAGAACAAGAGCCCATTTTATTAATCACAAAAAAATAATACACACATTAATAGCCAAAGCAAAAAGGGAAAAAAAAGAAACGCTCTAAAAAACCTACATGCATCCTACCACACAAAACTCACCGAACAAGAAAAAACAAACAAAATAACAAAAAAGCAAACCAAAAACAATTAATCAATTTCAACATTGCTCTCTTCTAACTTCCAGCCTTAAATGCCATATTTCCTTCTAACTTTGATCTTGTTTAAAAGGAAAATAATTGTTTCCCTTGATCCAACTATAATTGGTTATGGAATTAAAAGAAGTCAAACACTATCAACTAAAGTTATCATGAATGATAGGAGCTTTTGTTATTTAAATTTTAAATTAGTAATTAGGATTTGAATTCTAGCTCTTGTGTATATAATAATTTAATCAAGAGAGGTTTGCCATTTGCCTTCAACATTTAGAGGAGATAATATTTGTTGGCACATCACAATCCAAAGTAAATCACTTTAAGATCTGTTTGATTGAAGGGAAGAGAAAGAAAAATCTTCCTTACCATTATTTAGATGGGAAAATGAAGGAGAGAGGCTTAAAATCTCCCCTTGTTTGGCAATACTATACTAAAGAGGAGGGGAGGGGAAGTTTATTGGGGGGATTTGGAGGAATTATTCATGAAGACCTTGAACCAACATAGACAACATATACATTAAAAAAAATAACAATACTTATTATCGGATAAAATTAAATATACAAACATAAAATCATATATGCAACCAAACCAATGGTTTATAATTTAAAATTGAGCTTTCATAGCAGATTTTCTAAATTTATCTTAATTTATTGTTTATCACGTGGAAAAATTTTATTAATAAAATTTAGATGAAGATTGTTTCTCTACAATTTTATGTTAAAATAATTTTATTTTCTACGCTTCTTTTTTTCAAATTCAATCTACCTATATCCCAAATTATGTTTTTTATTTTTATGTAAACAACTATATTTTATTAATTAATAACAACAACGATCTCAAACTCGAAATTACAATTTAAATGAATGCATATAAAAAACAAAATATTTAAGTGAAAAACATAAAGAGTAAATACTTTTTTATGATAAAATATAGCTAAAAAATGAATGAAATAAATAACCTAAAAAATTAAAATAACGTGTTTCTATCTTTCAATCTCCTACAACATATGACATTGTATTTCAAATTCTACAGGATATTTTTAACTGAACTGATTTCTGATTATCGGATTAAAATAAATTAGTTCTCTCTCTCTCTCTCTCTCTCTCTCTCTGTTTTTTTTTTTAACTTTCTGTGATTACTACCTTTTTAAATGGGTCAATTTTTGGACAGGCTATTTATTCTTTTTATGTGGGTGTTCTCAATTATCATCTACAAGGACTACAAATTGGCCATGAAATTTAATTCAGCATTCAATTATGTCTTGGTCTGTTTGGTGTGGGTTTGTATCTTTTTGTGACTTGTATTTTTGGTTTTCTGCGTGGGTCTCTTTATTTTCAGTTGGGTTATCTGTTAGGGCTTTTGTTTTTGTTTTTGTTTTTGTTAAAAGCCATTTTAGTTGCACTCGTTTTACTGCTTATAACATTTGACGATTCATAATTAAAGAAAAAAACAAGAACAACACATGGAATGAAATTTGCTTTCTTTTCTTTTCTTGTCTTTTCACTTTCTTTTCACTTGCCATCTCAATTTTTAAAATGGTTGAGATTTAACATAGTTTAAATGAAATTAGTTATATTTTAAATTTATTTATTTATTTTTCATAAATTTTATATTTTAATAATAATTTTATGAAACATTAAATATCAACAATTTAAAAATAAATTCATTAAAATAAGAAGTGGAGGTGAAATGAAAAAAATAAAGAATGAAGAGAAGTCAAGTCTGGCCCAACGAATAATAGATGGATGAAATAAAAATTTTAAAAAAGCAACTCTACTTATCTCATTATCTCCACAATCGCGATCATGCCGCGCGTCCTTCTCTCCCAAGTCTAATGTCACCCTTAGTCTCTCTCTAACATTGAGCTTCTTTGTTCCTTCTCTTTGAAAAAACGAGTAGCTCTTTTACAACTAGTGCCTCGTTTGGTATGATGGAAATGATTTTGATAGAAATGAAAATGGATATAGAAGTGAAAATGAAAATGAATATGAAAGTGGATATGAAGTTTAATGATATGTTTGGTATATCCATGAAATCTTAATATAATTTTTTATCAAAACACATATTCATAATATTAAAAGATCAAAAATCTTTCTTGAAAAAATACCTAGACCAACATAGCCACCTTTCTCTATATTGCTACTGAAAGAACCACCGCACTATTGGAAAACAATCAACAAGAATCTAGATTCAACAATCAACAAAAGTTACCATTGAAACAACAAATCCAGAGTCGACAATCAAGAAACCAAAGACAAAGATCGAGAGGGAGAGGGAGGTCCAAATTCAACACTTTTGCTCTGTAATAATCAAGAAACCGAAGATGAAGATTGAGAGGGAGAGGGAGATTGCGATGGAAATTCAAATTCAATACTTTCTCTACAACAATCAAGAAATCAAAAACGAAGATCTAGATTTAACAAACAACTCTCTTTGTGCAACATTTTTAGACCTATAAGATTTTGAGAGAGAGAGAGAGAGAGAGAGAGAGAGAGAATACCCAGATCAAAGTAGTTTCTCTCTTAATCTCCCTTTTGCTCTGAGTCTCAATCTTAGCAAATTAGAGGTTGGATTTGAAGTCACCTTCAAACTTTAACCATAAAATTAGAGGTTGCTATCGTTAGAAGAGAAAGAGGAAAAGGAAGATTTGCTATTAATTTTCGCCATTAATGGAGGTTTTTGTGGCTGGAGGTTGCTCGCGGTCGCTGTCTCTAAGGCAAAGGTCACATTCACCAAGTGTTGGAAGTCACCGATGCAATTGTTAGGGGCTGAGATAGTGGAAGGAAGGTTGAATGGAGTGAGAGATGAAGGGGTAAAAGATGCAAAATAAAAAATAAAATTTGAAAACTGAATATTTTTGATAGAATCCAATTCCATCAATTTTGGTGGAATTGATTTTTAGCAAACCAAACTAACTATGTTTTGAATTCCATTTCTATTTTCATTTCCAATTCTCAAAGCAAAATTTCAATGTACCAAACGGGACCTAGATTCATAAATAACATTCTTCAAACTAATAAATCAACATTAATTTAATTAAGCATGTTCAATTACTCTCTTCCTCATCTTCCCTCTGTTTCCCTCTCAGCTTTGTGCTAGGGTGCAATTTGAAGGTTTGTGTGGGAACACGGTACTCATCTCAATGCCTAACTTCATCGAAGTTTTCAAAATTTGTGGGGAGACATATGCCCACCCTTATTGCAACATATATCCTTCATTGCTTCTTCGTCTTTCCTTCCCTTCATTAAAATTCCTTCCATTTCCCAACCAAATATAGTGTTAAAATTTAAAATCTCTCTATTTATTTGATAAAGTACAATAATTTATACTGTAAATGTGCAGTAAAAATATTGTACAGCTTTTAAAATCATATTTTTTACAAACTTAATAACATAAAAGTTATTTTGGATAAAAAACCATAAAAATATTTTTAATCACATTTTTTAAATTATATTTATTTTTTATCTTTCATTCTAAATTTTTTGAAATTATGTTTTTTTTAACTTGTATATAATTAAAATAAGTTATTAATTTTTAATGACATATAAAAACCCTTAGTGCATGGGTTAATACATTCTAAAATAAAATATATTGTGAAAATTTTTAATTCATATAGGGCAACAAATTTCTGTTATCTAAATTTTTATATTAACATTTTTAATTCATTTACGGAGTAATAAATTATTATGCAGTTCCATGCATATTATTATCCAGACTAGATTTTAAATTGCATCAGTGGAGTATTATAAAAGAAAATAAAATATGATTTATATTTTCAATATGTAAAGGGATAAAAATTTAAAAAACTCTATTTTTTTAATTTTTAACACGTACGGGTAATAACTTATAATGTTTTGTACTTTCTAAAATATTAAATATGATGGTTGTTATCTAAACTTTTTAACATACTCCCTCCAAAAATATAAGGAATTTTTTTGAGATAAAATATTAAAAATATAAGGTATTTTGAATCTTTTAAAATGCGGTTAATGAGATTTTTTAAAAAAAAATGTACCTTTAATTAGGGCTATAATTAATAAATTTTTTTAATTAAAATGTCTTATTAAATAAGGGTAAACACAAAAAGAATGTATGATTTTAAAGACACTTAACTAACTTATTGAGGATGTGATTTGATTAAAAATGATTTATAACATTGAACAAATGGAGTATATTTTTATTTTAATGAGTTCATTTTTAAAAATGAAAAAATAGGGTTGAAAGTTTTTAATTGATTTTTATTTTTTAAATTATCACTTTATTAAAATTTTATGTCCTTATTTGTCTATTTTTTTTTAAATCAAAGTCACTAAAATTTCTACTTCATCACCTCTACTCTTCTTAAACTAAGTAGAAAGTTAATGTCTGCATTATACAAGGTCTAAAGTCTTTTTATTATATAATTAACATGTAGCGTTGCACTACCCAAGTTTTCCTCTTTTTTTAATTTTATTTTTAAATTTTATTATAATAAAGAAGTATGTGAATTAGGAGGCGATTGGCTACCTGAGGTGGTATTGCACAAATGAAACTCACATCACCAACGTACACGTTTTAATAAAGAAGCATGTGGACTAAGAGGCAATTGGCTCAATGAGGTGGTATCACACAAATGAAGTTTGCATAACTAAGGTACAAATTTTATCTTCTTGGGTTCACGAACCTTTCTTATAATTCAAATTGCTTGGCGAAATTCTGACCTTCTTTTTATATTTTCCCATTGATAATAATTTTTAGCTATGACTTTTTCTCATTTACTAAAGTAGGGATCTATTTCTCTTTTATATTCTCTTGTGCAAATTCATATAGAGACATTTATATCAACAATAAGCATTCTCGTGACTTCTCTATTATATTTTTTTCGAGAGGAGAAAACATAGAATATTAGCAGTTGATTTTATTATAATTTAAGCAGCACTTTGATCCTCACCACATAAATAAAAAACTAAATTTCATGCATTACATTAAGAACATGCATAACTTCACTATATGCCTCCTGTCTACATGTGGTCACTGCGTGATGTATAAGACACTTCATATTTAAGAAACATATGAGCTTTTGCTCTAACAATCCTGACAATGGGTTAAAAAAAAAAAATCACATTTTAACATAGGCCTAAGGCACGTCAAATTTATAAAAACAAATTATTATTTTTTTAACGTGGGCTTTGCACACACAAAAATTTCCTTAATAGTCATATTAGCTAGAACCTTTATAGTTATTGTATAATTGCTTAGTTTTTCTTAATTAGAACTGTGCAATGCTATCTCCTAAGACCTCATAAAACATAAGACTCCACTTTAAATGTCATTAAGATGAGCAAATAATATAACCTTTACTCTTCCTACCATATTCATGCAAAAATACATGTAACCGTATATTTTCATTTCTTATGTTAATGACTTGCACAATACAGTGCATGTTCCATTATTATTATTTAATTTATATTTATACTTATTTTCCTAATATGAATAACAAGTAAGATCATAATTCAATGGTAAAAAAACAAGATCATAGTTTTTATATTAAAATTATTTTCTTTTATTATATCAATGCACTTTTATTTATTTTTTAATATATTGATACCTAACGTATCAATCATGTGATTCAATATATCACTTGCATTGCACAAGTCAAAAACTAGTTTAATTATTATTAGATCATATTAGATAAGGTGAACTATGGTACATCTCACTATTTGATATTTTCCTTTTATTATTTCTTATACAGATATGATACCTAGTATTATCACCTGGGACAAGCCAAAAAATTTTGTTTGGATATATGCCAAAATGAAAAAGCATATATGATAATCGAAAAAAATTAAATTTATATGTCATTAGTATACCATAAATATTTCAACTTATATATTTATATTTCATTTTGCACGAGCACACACACAACAAATATAATATATATATATATATAGTATATATATATATAATCATTTTTTAATTTTTCTCATTAATTTTAATTATCATATTTACAATAAAAATTTTATTTTCAATATAAACTATAATTAAATTAGTGAATATTTCATCTTTCCCCATAAGTATTGAATAATTTGAATGCATATTTAGAATTCAAAATTTTGTTCAATATAAGAAACTCTATTATTTGCTTAAATTTACTATTTAATTCATATATCTTGTGGTTTTTATTGCAATGCTTTATAAAATTTGTTAGTAATAATTTTTCTATTTTTTATTAAATATAAAATAAAAGTAAAATCAAATAATATCAATGCTTTAAGAGTAATTTTACTATTATCTTGTTGAAAATAATTAAATAAATTCTATGATAATTATATTTTCAAATTATTATAACAGTTGCATTATATATGTGTAAATTAAAAGACTACTATAAAATTGAAATAAAAATTTCTTTAGTATTTTAAGGCTTTTATAACATATCAACTTACAATTTAAAACTATATAAACTCCATATTTTATTGAAAAAAAAATTAAAAACTTGAGGGGGCTATGACTTCTGTTGGTTCTCCTATCTTCACCTTTGATTATCAAGTTAAATTTGAACACCACCACCACTCGATTGGAGTGGGATAGGTCTCTTGAAAGCAATCTTGGCATTATATTTAATTAGTTTTTTAATTAAGATAAGATTACAACCAAAAACATAACATTATAAAAAATGAATTTGCATGGCAAGAGTTGCAAGTTGCACTAAACTAGGAAGTATTTCCGAGGCTTGCGTTTCATGTCACGACGGGCAGGTTGGCTACCACTTTTATGGGTAACAACCTCAACCTAAAACTCCCAAATCCTTTATATGAGCATTCGTTACCACCATCACTATACTTTCTCCTCTAATTTTTCCTGGTCTCTTTTGGTTCATTTGTCTTCTAGCACCAGCTCCTTCCAAAAAAAGATTATTTGTTGCTAACAAAACTCAACTTGAATGTCACATTTTGTATTTCTTTTAACCTTTTCTCACCCTCTCTGATTCGGATCCTGTTAATCAGAGATTGAAAGGGGAATGGAGATCTTCCAAAGGGCCTATGTGGTGCGTTTGAGGAGCCACCATGACAAATACTTGATCGCCGACGACGATGAAGAAACTGTTCGTCAAGATCGTAATGGGTGCTACAAGAACGCTAAATGGAACGTGGAGATCGTCGAGAATTCCAATTGCTTACGATTCAAGAGCTGTTACGGAAAATACTTGACCGCCTCCAATTTGCCATTCATATTTGGGTCTGGAGGCAAGAAAGTGCTCCAAACTCTTCCCAGAAGATTAGATTCCTCCCTCGAATGGGAACCAATCAGAGAGGGCGTTCAGGTGAGACTCAGGACCCGTTATGGCCAATTCCTGCGTGCCAACGGAGGACTACCTCCATGGAGGAACTCCGTCACCCACGACATCCCTTACAGAAATACGACTCAGGATTGGATTCTCTGGGATGTCGACGTCGTCGAGATTCGCTTGCAACAAGTTCAGCAACATCCCAAACAGCGACCTCGTCCCAAGCCTATTGCCCCGCCCCATCGTTCCGTGAATCCAGCCCCAACCAATACTTCTGCTTCCGTTTCGGGTGGTGACAACTTCTCCAAAATTGAGCTCAGGTCTCCAAAAACAACTGAGGTTTGTTTTGTTCTTTAAAAGAATGTGTTTGTTCATGTGAAACATTCGATTGGGAATTCTGACGTGGAGAGGGAAAAAAATTTCTGTTCATTGTCACGTGCAGGTGAAAGAGTTGGAGGAATACGCGCTATCGCCAAAGAAAGAAGGGAGGACAATTTTTTATGAAGTGGGGGATGAAAATGGGGATGTTGAGCCTGGAAAGGAGAAGTTCTTCACATTCAAGGGAAGTTCTGTGAATGAGTTGAAGGAAAAGCTGAAGGAAGAAACGGGGCATGATGATATTCTTGTGTGTTCCCGTAATCCTTTGAATGGGAAGCTATATCCCCTTCGCTTACACCTACCACCCCACAATTCTGATATGCATGTCATCGTCGTTCCTTCCACATTCCAAGGTGAGGTCTTTTGTGTCTCATTTTCTTACACTCAACGTTTACCTATCCTCCTTAATTAACTTTCTAACAGCTTATACTGCTGCCTCACATTTTTCCTCCTTTCTCATGTACCTCTTGGATTTCATCATTCTGAATTTGAAAGCCTGTAATTTTTCTCCTACCCACGATTTGATTTTGTTCTGACATCAACTGCCTTGTTTAGCGTAATTGCTCTGAGCAATAGTCGGCCTAAGGATGCCAGGCATTTCATCAGCACTGCTATCATAGGAGTCTGCAGCTCATTCAGAAGTTGAAATGTGACATTTGCCAGATGCAAAACTGCAAGGTAACACATCACAAAGCAACTGGACCATTCAATCACCTGTAAATCCAACAATGCTTTCCAAGTTGGTGCAGGACTAAGCCATTTGAGATGCAAACGCAGAGTGATATTTTTTATGAATTTATCTTTCTTCTCAAATTCTGTACTAAAAAAAAAATCTATGGGGTTTTCTCATCTGATAATTTTTACCACTCATTTTATTCATTAGATGAATAGCCAAGAAAGCACAGATCGGTCTTAGTAAGTGAAATAATTGTTGCCTCAAGCAATGTTAAGAGAAAAGCCTACGTGTGCAAGATGTATGTCTCTGATGTATATTCTGTTACAAAATTAATTCAAGATATGTCTATGAACTGAACAATGGGAAAAAATATTGAGCATGTGATGCAATTTACAAGAGATAAAATGCCTTTAAATTTCTAAAATTGTAAGCAACAGACAATATCTTGAAAAGGAAAGAGAGGCAAGTAGGCAACTATAGTAAATGTCATGACCAAATTCACAAGGATGCTAACTATCTGATATAAGGATCATGTTGGAAACACTACTGAAGTGTGGATAAGGAATTCGTGACGGGGGCGAATCCTATGCGGGGAGGATCATGTAGGACACCATCCTATGTCTTTTTTCTTTTGGACTAGAAAGAATCTGACAGGTGCATAGTACTATATTTCTTTTCAAAGGAAAGTTACATCATTGTCATCATATCATGCTTGATTATTTTGCTAATTTTTTTAGTCATCTCGCTGTAATACAATATCATGGCAACATACCAACGCATACATTTCAGGAACTCCAATATGGTTATAAATTGTCAAAATTTTATACTGTGAAGATTATGCAGTAAAACTCACCAGTCATCCCCCGCCTGGTGTGGAGATGAGGACATGAGATATACTTAAATAAGAGCCCACAGCCTTCTCTGTCCTGACGCTACACGCTCTTCAATACAGAGGGAACATATTGATTAAAGTCCGCAAACATTAGTCCCAGCACATTACCTATCTCAACTCGTTGACAGTTTGACATGTCTGCAGAAACAAATTCATGACTCTATTAAACTGCATCCAGATGGTTTCTTTATCCACATATAATCAATCAATTTTCATATCTTACGTGCATCTTCCTTACAGTAAGCGTTCAAGCACTCTTTTCAATAAAAAATATAATGTATTTTTTGAGGAGTTGAATGTTAAAAAATTTAAAGTATTTATAGTTTTTTTAGATGTAATTATTGTCTTTTTTTTTTTTAAATACACCTGACTTTTTATTTATTGTAGGGTGTTTAATAGAAATAAATATAAAAAATATAGGGTTAGTTAAAAAGTAAATAAATATTTTATTAAGAGATAAGATTCAATTAAAAATATCTTATATTTTTAAACAAAGAGTATATGTTAGATAATTGAACGTATGCTCGGTCACCTTTATCTAACAGTAAAAGCTCTTTGACAGCAAAGCTTGGCAACATTATTATGGATTCGATAGTCGGTAAGGAAGGCACCGCATACAGAGGCCAGCGGCTTCATGGGCACACTTCTTATCAAATGAAGTGATTCATCTAATCCACCTGCCTGCAGAGTAAATATAAATGTTTGGGGGTGTCCTGTAACTATATTTTGAAATTTTATATAATTTATTTTTATGATCAATATTTAAGAAATTTTAAGGGGATACAAATAAAATTTTCTTTTGGAGAAAAAGAGGAAAGTATATTTAAAAATGTAGTTACTAATATTAAATTATTTATGTGAAAAAATAAAATTTAAAACTCTTTGAAAATGATAGAGTCCAATTCAGTTCTTCTCATATCTATTATAAATATATATATTTTTAAATAAATATTTTTCATTCCTAGTAGTAAGAACAATAAAAAAATTATAACTAAAGATTAATTATATGAAAATCAAACTTCTTTACTAATAATCTCAACTATAAAATTATAATTTTCATTGATTTATGTTTTTTCCCCAAGAAATTATGCTTATTATATAAATCAACATATACTCCATCAAATATTAAAAAACAGAGAGAAGTGGAAGAAGAAGAATGACAAATGTGAAAAAGACATAGGGTTAAAGGCAAATCTACCCAAAAAATTTTCTTCATGAGCACCTAATATTATTAAGTGAAAGAGGATGCAAAATTATCCCTAATGTTCATTTAACAAGTGTAACTGTGCCAAAACCGTTTAAGAAGCTCAACATTGACCGTGAAACTAGACACGTAAGCAAACGGCCGAATTATTTTGCTGGCGTGGATTCTGTCCTGGTCATATTACATCACTTTTTTTCTTACCAAAATCCCTTCTTCATCCTTCTCTCAGTCTCTCTTTTGGCTATCGATGGCAACTCTCCCTCGACTAAACAAGTCCGCCGGCAACCCTTCCTCTCCCTCAGCTAATCGTTAGTTCCACAAAACAATATATCCAGAATTTACATTCAGAAACAATAAATCCAGCATTAGCCTACTTGGTTCTGCTACCCTTTTTTCAAATCAACGCTGAATTAAAGCCAAAGATTTCAAGTTTCCCCCCATTGCTTTCCCCCCGTATAGAAGCTATGATTTTCCCCCTTTTCATGGTATCTACATGTTTGGAAACTAGAGCTGATTAGCCAACTTGATTGTATTGATTTTTTTAGGCATTTCTTCACAAACGAGAGAGGCTTGTGATTTCGGAGTTATCATCGCAGAATTTTGGAGAAGGAAAGGAGGAAATTTCACCAAATGGGGTTGTTGCCATTGAACCCGAACCTAGAAAGAGAGCATGGCCTCTGTGTCATCTCTCTCTATTTTGACTTCCCCTAGATGTCTCTCTTCGACTTTTCCTCACGTTCTCTTTGTCATGACTCGACACCTATAACCAGTCAACCACAACCCTCGCCTCTTTCAGTCTTCAACTTTACTCTTCAGTCGACAGTCACCTCCTCTTCTCCTCAGCCCCCGCAAGATCGCTTGTGACACTGCAACGGTGGCCGAGTCCGATGGCCTGAGTGGCATAAATGCCAAAAGTTTCAAGCAAACTAAGGGTGGCGTAGAGATTGCAGAGGCCAGCTAGCTGAGTGGAGATGGTTTCTACGATTGGAGTACAGCAGGAGTTGAGTGGCGTGGTGGAGGAGTTAATGGAGTCCAAGTAGAGGGAGAATGGGGCCTGGGATAATAGAAATAGAGAGAGAGAGAGAGAGAGAGAGAGAGAGAGAGAGAGGAGTTCCATATTACACATGAAAGGGAGACTGGGAGAGAATGAGAGGAGAGAGAAATTTTGAAGGACATGTGGAAGGAGGGAAAAAGTCAATGGATGATTTGGCAACACATGGCAAGTACCTTTTGCAAATATAACGGACGTTAAGCTCCTCAAACGATTTCGGCACAGTCACACTCATTAAATAAACATTATGAATACTTTTACACTTTTTTTTTCACTTAATAATATTAAGTGTTTGTGAAAGAAAACTTTTTGAATAGATTTTTCCTTTAACAAATCTGTGAAGAACAAAATGATGATATAGAAATATGTAAAAGAAGATGGATAAGGGCATAAGAATTCCCCAAATGATATTTAATAATTTATAATTCATTTCATTTAATTACTAATATTAAAATTTACTCAATCTCCAATCATCATTAATCTCTCTTGTATTCATTTCATTAATAATATTTTTTCGATTGTCAAACATAATTCATTCCCATGTCTTCCTTTTCAAATTCACATTGCTATAGTTAATGTATTATGAGAGATTTGTGTTGCTTCAACTCTTCTAATGTTTCCATATCTTTATCATCAACTATTACTTAATAAATATAAAAGATATATTCCTCCATCTAGATATTATATTCTCCCGTTGAGTTTCTTATTGATTTGTTAATTTAAACATATTATTAGCAAAAATATTTTATGATGCTCTATCTTTTTCTTTTTTTATCATTTAATTTATTATTAAAAATAATATTTGAATATAATATCAATCATTTTATGATACCCTATACAATGTAAGGGATTATTTTCTCGTTGATTGTCATGTATTGGTGTATAAAACTGTGTTTAGTATATTTTACATGTTTGTATACGTAAAATTAAAGATACATTTCTTCTAGTTATTATAATAAGACATGAAAGAATGATTTTTTAAATTCTATTTATGAAATATATTATTAATTTTTATTATAAATATAAATTTTTTACTTTTCATTAAGTGTTAGTAAAAAATATATTTTATTTAATAGAAGTAAAGTTAAAAATTTAGGGAGAATAACATGGACATCAAATTTGTTTATTATTTAACCATATTAAAATTTAAAAAAGATTACAAATTTATTACAATTAAATTATAAAATTAAAAGTCAAATTTATAAAATCTTAAATTGATACTTAAGACTTAAGTTGAATTAATTAATTTTTTAAAATTTATATGTCATTCTCCCAAAAAATTTATCAGATTTTTGGAAGATTAAATAAATTTTTATATTTTCTTTATTTTATAAAACATGCTGCCACTCACTTACTAAATACCACCGCTATAAGAAAACTTCCGCGGACGCTTCCCCAAGACCATTGCAAGTTTGCAACGCAAGTTCCGTTTGGCCAAGTTGTAAGGTTTTGGATAAACAAAGAGCATGGCTACTGACTCAATTCGCCTCGTCCTCTCTTCAGGGTTTTCCTCCTTTTTCCGATTAACGGCTGGAAACGCAGCGGACTCGCCTTAAACTTCTGGAAAAGGAAGTTTTCGGAGCACATTATTTGTGAAACTAATCAGAGGGTACTTTTGCTCTTCATTCTCAGGCATTTCCTTTCTTCCCGCCCTTTCTTTGCAGTTACTGTATATTAGAATGTATTCGTTGCTGGTAGTCAAGGGAGGAGCTATTGGTGGTGGTTGGGGGTGGAGCAGCTGGGGTTTATGGAGGAATTCAAGCGAAGACGGTGGCTCCCAATCTGAGCGTTGTAATCATTGAGAAAGGAAAGCCTCTTTCCAAGGTATGTAATGTTTATTTCTTCTTCTTCTTCTTCTTCTTCTTCTTCTTCTTCTTTTAATTTTCGTGGTTGTGGCTAATCCCACCGATATGGTATGTTTTGCGCTTTTCTCATTTCATCTTTTTTTCTTATGGTATTATTGGCAGGTAAAAGTTTCAGGAGGAGGCCGATGCAATGTTACAAATGGGCATTGCGTTGACAATATGGTAATCCTAATTATGAAGTTTTATTGAGTATGCGACCTATAATTGTAGAAGATATGTTTGGGGCAACTATTATTACATTAAGCAACATGAAATTGGCAAAGCAATTGGAATTTTTTATAGCTTGCATTTCAGTGTCATGTCATTCTGAATCCCAATCCTTTCTAGTTATCATTTTATTATTAAGTCAGACCCATTAACTTTTTTCTAGCTGATTTATTATCTAAAACCAAAATTGAATCGGAAATGTAATCTGCTGCATATATTGGCACGGGTATCTTATTTTGCCTTGTTGGCATAGTAAAATTTTTATTCACCAGTATTATCTCTGTTATTTAAGTAATAAATACTGCTCCACTTGCTTCAAATTAGCATATTAGGCCTCATCATACTGGCAGATGAAGTTTGGAATACTGACTAGCTTGTAGATTTTGGCAGAAAACTATCCTAGGGGTCATAAAGAATTTAGAGGATCGTTCTTCAATTTGCATGGCCCAGTGGATACCATGTCCTGGTTTTCCTCTCATGGGGTGGAATTAAAGGTAATTCTTGTTAGTTGTTTCTAAATTTATAAATATCTTATATATATATATACATATTGGTATACAATATCTTATTTATATTTAATTGCCTATAGACCGAGGGCGATGGGAGGGTTTTTCCTGTCAGCAACAATTCTTCTTCAATAATTGATTGTCTCATGTCTCAAGTAAAGCAAAAGGGAGGTATGTTGCCTTTGTAGCTTATTCTATTGTTCTTTTGCATTGTCTGGGTTTCTCTACCTTGCATGCAATTCATTGTTAAATCAAAATAAGCATTATTCACTGTTATTTACTACTTCTCTCTTGATTTTAACATTTATTTTCTTTGCCCATTTCATAAAGCCTGAATGGATCTTCTTTTCCTATAAAATAATTATGTTCATGCGGACAATCCTGGACTGTATTTTCTGCATATCACAATGTAATTCATGAATAATTCATTAGAATTCTTCTCCCTATTTTCCTATTTCTATCTTGGTTTTTCATACATTTGAATGGAGGATTTCCTGATACAATGGTGTATTATCAAGGCTGAACGTTGTATCCTTGATCAGTTAGTATGCAGACCAGAAAAGCTGTAACCTCAGTGTCTGTTGCTAATAGTGGCAAATTCCTTCTCAATGTTCAGCAGCAATTAGCTGATAATGTTGAACGAGTTGAAGCAGATTATCTATTGATAGCTACTGGTTGTAGCAGGCAGGTTGTGATTGACATATTATTTATTTAAAGTGTCATGCATTTTAAACATTTTTTTTTATATGAAAATTTCTGTGCTGCAGGGTTACACTCTTGCATCTCAGCTTGGACATACAATTGTAGATCCAGTGCCTAGCTTATTTACTTTCAAAATAGACGATTCACGATTGACAGCGTTATCTGGGGTAAAGTATTATGTGAAGTTGTGACCTTCTGGTTCTTTTACTTTATTAATTTTCTGTATCAAACTTCTTATGTAATACTGCAAAATTTTTTTTTTCTTCTTCCTCTAGTTCCATACAAATAAAATCAACTACCGTTGTTATATAACAAGAAGTTCTATTCAGGAACACTGCATGATCTAAACATATGGTTTCTGTTAATAAGTCTTGTACTTGCCATGTGTTACTTAGAACGTGACTTTATGTTACTTCGAATCATTGATTTGAGAGCATACAAAATTATGGTGAACCATATGCAAGGATAAAATAACTACAAGTCTAGCCAAAGTTGTTTTAAATAAAATAGTCATGGCTTCGAAGTTCAAATGTTAAAGAATTCTTATATCATATAAAATGATCACTGTTTGTGATTGCAATTGCTTTTTCCATTCATCCATAAAACTTGCCCCACCAAAGGATAAAATTGATAAGATTTTCAATTAGAAGCATGTATTCAGTTGTATCCTGGGTTTTGATGATTTTCCCCCCCCAATGATTCGATTATTCATCTATTACATTCTGATGATCCTTTCCATTTTAAGCACCAGTCCATCCAGTATCAATGAAGGCAGTTGCACAAGAATATTTTCCCAATTAGGATTTGGTAGCATGTATCTTATGTATTGTTAACTTCCAGTTCCAGGGTTGATGATGATTTGAATATTATTGCTGTGTATTTGATCCTCTGATCCATAGTGAGGATATTGAGGTTCTCTTTATCTGGAAAACCAAGATTTTTCCTTTGGCTGTTTTACTATCATATCATGTCGAGGATGCAAAACATGCCTTGAGAAGTGGAGAATGTATATATATATATATATATATATATTTTAATTCTTGCTTATTAATTATTTTATTTTTAACTTGTCAGATTTCATTCACTAAAGTTAAAGTGAGACTGAAATTAGACAATGTCCAAAGGAATATACCCCAACTTACACAGGTATGTTTCTTTAGCAACCTTTAACCAAATACTCAACTATATATATGCCACGCTACCTTAACTTAAATTTCAGGTTGGCTCCATGTTAGTCACACACTGGGGACTCAGTGGGCCAGCTATTCTTCGGTTATCTGCTTGGGGAGCTCGTTATCTGTTCAGTTCAAGCTACAGAGGTAAAAAATGTTTTCCTTCCTTCAATGTCAGTTTCATTTCTTTCATTTTACTGACATTTGTTCACCAACTCATTTTACTGACATTGGTGTAAATTGGTTGCAGGGAAACTGATTGTTGATTTTACTCCAGATTTGCATGAAGAAAATATGAAGTCTATCCTTTCTCATCACAAGCATCAATATGTGGTAAGCATGGAACTGGTTCACTTTGTCAGAATAATAGTATTATGGAATTCATGTTATTGTGCATGAAAGTTGAAAAGGGAAGATATTTTTCTTTATTTACTCAAAGGTATTTCTTGGTGCATTAATATAAACCTGGTCTTGTGGTTTTGGATCTCTGGGAATATCATAGTTGTGGCTTGGGTTAATTATTGGAGTGTCTGATCTTATTCTACAAAAAACCTATGTATATGTGTATATAAGGAAAAAATAACTTTTGGTGCCTGCATTTTGCTTGCTTTTGTTATTGGTCCTTGCATTTTTTTTTAGTGATCTAGATCTCTACACTTTTGTTTTTCATTATTTTAGGTCTCTTCATGAACAAAGTGTATAGGGACTTTAGAGGGAGCTAAAACAATGAAAAACAAAAGTGTAGAGACCTTAAACAAAAAAAAAAAAAAAGCAAGGACCAAGAGCAAAATACAAACAAAGTGTAGGGACCTAAAGCTATGTTTTCTCTATATATAAATATATATATTCTATAAATTAAGCGTGATCTGCTAAAAGAGCATTAGTCCTCCCTTAAATTGCCCCCTGCCACAAGGCAGTTCTCAAGTATTGAAACTGGCATTACTATGCCTCTAATGACAGCAACATCAGTATTTTGATCGTAGGCCTTATCATAGGCCTTAGCCAACAAGCTGATAGTTTCACTAAACCTCAGACTTTCCCACTCATTATTGGATTATAATAAATTTCCTCTTTTTCTTGTTGGGTTTCAGAATGACAATACTCAATTGTTTTGCCTTTGCCTTTGCAGAAACAAAAAGTGTATAATTCATATCCTCTTGATTTTGGCATATCGAAAAGATTTTGGTGTTATGTGTTGAGCCAACAGGTTATGTAGTTATTCCTATATTGTAAAATAATTTGCTGCTGTCTGTTGTAACAAATGCTTTACATTACTAATCACAAATAATTTCATATACAGGGTTTAGGCGGAGATATCTTGTGGGCATCACTGTCAAATAATTCATTAATTTCTATTGCTTCAGCACTAAAGCATTGTACTTTTGAAATTGCAGGCAAGGCAGGTTCCACATCATTTCTCTTATTTTTACATTGCCATGGTCTCTACATTTTTTACCCTCACTGAAACTTCCTAACAGATGTGAGATCTTTTTTTTTTTTTCCCCTCTAATTAAGGGTCAATTTAAGGAAGAATTTGTTACTGCTGGTGGTGTTCCCTTGTCAGAGGTTCACTTTCTTTTTCAAGCTTTCTCCTTCCTTCTCTTAATTCGTTATAAATATGATTTTGCTAATTTTTTTGGATAGATCTCATTGAATACAATGGAGAGCAAAATATGTCCGCGTTTGTTCTTTGCAGGAGAGGTAGGTCTAAACTTGTTTTCATTGATTCTAGTGGAGAAAGAAGTAATAATTTAGCGTGGTAATCTAACGCCTAATCTGTTGCAGGTGCTAAATGTTGATGGGGTTACCGGTGGTTTCAATTTTCAGGTAAATAAACATGTGATCACGGGAACACATACATTTTTTTCCAAAAATAAATCATGGTAAAAAAAACTGCATAAATCTTATTTATATAGATATGGCATTTGATTGTTGACACTCAATCCCAATTTCTTTAGTAGCTCAGCGCATGCTTTGGTTTCCGTCATGCTATGAAATGATTGTTTTTAATGTTAACATTTTTCTTGGTTTAGGGATGCTTGCATAAAGTAGATTTCTAACTAAAATGAAAATGAATTTCTCATGGCGTTATACATCAGCCAAGTACGATGTTTGTGTGAGTGCGTGCGGGTGTAGTATTGCACTTACATTGAATTTAATTGGATAATTATCAAATTCTCATCCAACACCTTCTAAGTGTATTATTTTTCCATATAGATAACAACAATATATATATATATATATATAGTGAAAGTGTGTGTGTGTTCCCATATCAAGTTTAGCCAATAAGAATGGAAACGTGTGTGGGGGTTGTGAATGTACAAGGGCCTTTCATTTGTGCCACAGTGATGGTTGTGACTGAGATTCTCTGTTGTGCGATGGAAGGAAAAGAATTTTGCCCAGTGGTAAAGTGATACTCCTTCCATCTAAAAATATAAAGTATTTTTAACTGAATTTCAATCTCAAATAAAATTATTATTTTTTTAATTAATATTATCTTTTCATATTTATACTTATTTAATAGGGTGTTTTATTTTAAAATAAATATAAAGTAATTTATTTATTAAGAGTTTTTTTTTTAAGGTAATGATTACACCATAAAACATTTTATATTTTTAAATTTTTTAAAAAATATTTTATACTTTTAAACAAAGGAATATATTCATTTCATGGTCCAACTTAAAAAGTGGTATCTTCATGAGATTCATTCATACTCACCTGATACCTATGCAGAATGCGTGGTCGGGGGGATACATCGCCGGGACCACAATTGGAAGACTAGCGCATGGCCCTTGTCTTCAATCACACCGAATTGTAGAGCATCCTGCTTGATTCTGTTTGCCCATTTCTGTGTCAGCTTATACTTGGATACCAAATCTTGGACACGCGCGCCTCAACAATTTATTACTCTCAATATTATTTTCCTGTTAGGGGCCCCCATGAGCCTTTGTAAACTTGTAATGGATCATACACACACACACACACACACACACACACACACACGCATGTATGGGAATCTGTATTGTTAGATCATATATATGAGCATTGTGGGGTCTAATTAAAAGTTATTTTTTCAATATGATTTTTCCATCCATGAATGGATGAATTAAAAAAGAAAAGAGGATGTATATTTGTTTGGATAATCTGAAAACTGGTGTTAAAGCATAGCACAACCATAAATAAATTAAAAAAAAATCATGGAATCAAGAAACTCCTCTAAATCTCAGATGCATGAACCCCTTTCATATAGCTGCAAAAATTTATTACTTGGCGTCTTATCAAGATCCTGAAGCAGGATGGCGATGTGGCTTTATCCAAATCCGAAAGGCCAAAACAGCATGCATGCTAAAGAGAAATGAAGAGTTTCATTATTGAGAGGTTGATGCCAACATATGAAGGGCTTGGCGTAGTGGGACTGGGTTTTGGGGTTGTGACGTGGTCGAAGGTGGTTGAAAAGAATCTAAACTGCGAGTTCATAGCCAAATAGAAGAGCAGTCTTGTGAAAGTGAAGAAAGCAAATCTCCCCATGTGAACAGGAACACATGGGTGAGGACAAACGCACGTCATTCCTCTATCCCATGCGACTCACCATCTCCACTTTCCATCATCTCCTTTCCATGCTGTCTTTTGGCGTATCCCAGTAAGATAAAGACCCCCACTTTATCATGCATAAAAGAATGATTTTTTTTTTATTTGTATAATATGTTCGTTACTTTATTGCCATTCTATAATATTATATTTTTAATAATGGGATGAGCATTATTTTTTTCCCTTCATCTTCACTTGCTTTCTTATTTAACCTTCTGCATGGGCGCATTTCACATATGTTGTATGCATTATGCCTTTTCTTATTATTCAACATTATCGCATTTATTTTGGCCAAAAACACATTATCACATTTAAAATAAGAATATAGAAGTGACATTTTCTTTATATATTTTTTATTCATTTGTATTTGGTGCGCTAAATAAATTTTTTATACTCTTTCTAGGTATATTATTCATTGATGAAGTCGTTAAAAACTTATTCTTAATTTTTGTATTTTTACCCTATAGTTTTCAATAATAATGTATAAATATTTTGTATGAAGAACAAAAATTATAGTAATATGTGAAGCGAGTGTTTGCTAATATTGATAGAATTTGTAATAATAAATTACAATATTTATAAATCATAACCGGTATAATTCTTCTGCCAAATCTCAGGCAACTATTTTATACAGATCATCATTAATCATATAATTTATAAATAATATACTAATCATTTCTCAAAATTTTCCAGAGTTTTGAAGTTGACTTTGGGGCCATGCTGTGTGCCTAATAATTTTTCATCATTTTTGACCTACCATGCACGGCTTTAAATGAGAATTTTTTTCTTTCGGACTTTTTCCTTTACCATCTATAAAACTATTTATGTGGTCAAAAAGGTTCCAGGGAGCATTATTACCCACAAACGTAATTCGGTGGAATGGTCAATAAGTAAGAATTCACGTTGTTCTTGATCAGTATATTACGCTAACAAATAGTTAGTCAGTCTCGTTTCTGGTTTTTCAATAATCAATACTCAAAACTGTGGGAAAAAATGATGTGACTTTCCCACCACCCCATTAGAGGGAAATAATTTTTTTATCACGCACATTTATGTTTTTATGAAATATAATAGCCTCCAAGATTCTGTTACTAATTAACTACATTAAGTAATATTAAATATTAATAATCTATATTAACTAGTCCAAACAGAGATCGTGGAGTTAACCAGCAACATATTACTATTTACTACTAAAAAATAATAATTAAGAGCGCAGGAAGGCTATTTGTGTATAACAACCTCGAACCTAAATAATTAGTTAATTGCGTGTAAATTTTGTCTCACTTAGATTTGGCACAATGATCAAATCTGAAAGGGTCTAACATATCACATTCACATTATGCCTTTTCTAATTAGTCTAATAGCAATTGGCTTAATAACAAATGTTTAGGTCATCAGGATACCCAAATTGACCATTACCCTGTGCATTCCGTTCTTGCATTTTCACTTCGAGAAAGTGACAGAGACAGCTAAATAACAAGTCAAAGTTGGATTATCCGGATACGGATTGAGGAATCCGAACTTTTGATTTAAAAAAAAAAAAAAAAACTTTTGCCGCCTCTCATTTTAGCCAAAAGTTTACCACGTTCTTCTCAACTGTATATTCTAGAATCACAACGAATTTCCAAACGAGCCGCATGCACATGAAAATTGTTTTTTCTTTTAAATTATCGTATCACTACACGTCTCAGTGGCTGTTATCCACGAGGCGTGAGTTGTGCCGTTACTTGCTTTATGAGCACTTTTCGTTCTCTTTCCAATTCCATGCTCTAGCATGTCTATTTGAGTCGGCGGCTAGCAATATTTGGCCTTGTTTTCCTTTTCAGATTCGCTATATTTGCAGGTTTTCTTGCTTCTTCTAGACTTATCTCTCCCTACGTATGGGTGCATTTCTCTTCTGGAATGCCTAGAGGTTTGGCTGTTACGACGGCTTGCCGGTGGTGAGTTATACGTGTTTGCGTTTTGGCCGCTGGATTAGAGAGTTCGGCGTTTGGAGTGGAGTTAAAAGGAGTCTGTGAGCGGGATGGGGGAGAAGCGAGAGATGGCAGGTTCTGGGAGGAAGATAACTGTTGGAGTCTGCGTAATGGAAAAGAAGGTGAAATATGGCCCCGAGGTTATCTCTCTGCGTTCACTCCTGTTTTCTCGTGTTTCGAAAACAGAGACTCGCCTTGAGCTGGAAATCATGTAATTCTGTGGTTATGCTCCGGTCTTCATTGATGAGCCTATTTTTTATTTCAGGCTTTCTCGGCGCCCATGGGGCAGATTCTCGAGAGGTTGCAAGCATTTGGTGAATTTGAGGTTGTCTGTAGTAAATGTGCTGAGTTATGAATGTAGCTATTGATTTGAATATAACTTGTACTTCAGTATGCTAAAAAAAAGGAACTGATTTTTCTTTTTTTCTTTTCCCTTTTTGGTTTTGCTAAATGCATTAAAAATGCAGCCGATGCTGATTATTTTTTATTTTTCCGGTTGTAGAATTTGCATGTTTCATCTCGTATTTTGTTTTTTCCCGGCAGAGCTCGTCCTATTTATTAGTTCTTTTTAATCATAATGGTGTCGCCTTTGTTTCTGCCTTTATATTTTGTAGATCACATATTTTGGAGATAAGGTCATCCTGGAAGATCCGATAGAGAGGTATGATTAATTTAATGGGCTGGAACTTCTTGAACTGTAAATCTTGCCGTACAATTTTGGTTGTATAACTTCAACGTGCATTTAATTTGGTACTTGTTTTGCGTTTTTTATTCTAATAGCTGTGAACATTGTTATTTCTGGTTTACATCTCTTTCTAGACCAATGGATTGAAAGGAGGGGATACTTATTCCTCAATCAGCAAACAGAATTTGTGATCCTTCTGCTTTATGGAGCATAAACTCATCAGGCCTGGCATAATTCTTCGAATTCCGATATGAAGTATTAGCTAGTTAGAGCTGATGTCACGTTACGGCTTCTGCTTAAATTTCTCGGTCCTCTTTCTTGTATGCTGTTCTTATAATTTGGATGATGAACTGTGTATTGTGGGGGAGGGGGTTGTGATATATAAAATTTGGAACATGAGAATTGTAGCTGAAAATGTCATTATTGTAAAGTCTCTAGGCGTCTAGAGCTGCATTGCTTGGGTGCTATAGGTTTGAATTTTTGTTTATTTCAGCTGGCCAGTATGCGATTGTCTGATTGCTTTCCATTCCTCTGGATATCCCCTTGAAAAGGCTGAGGCATATGCTGCTTTAAGGAAGTAAGCTTTTACAGTTACCAATTATATTTTACTAGTCACATAGTTTTAGCAGTTAATATTCCCTTTAAAGCGTAAACTCTATTGAGATTGTGTGACTTTAAGATTAGCTGGAGAACTTTCATGTCCATTGTCCATTACACTTGATATGATAAAATATAACATTGACTGTGCTTACTTGTATGCTATTTCCTTGACCTTCTAGAGGGAAGCCTTTCTTAACAATTGTGACATGATGATGACTGATTGTATTAATGGAATTTGAACAGTAAACTGTGGCGATAAGTGACTTGATAGCGGTCAGGTCTTTTGTAGCTATTTCTACAAAGACAAGGCGCAATGAGTTCAGCTGTGCTATGAGTTTCATATTTCTGTCCCTGCTTTCTCTTATCTTGCGAAGGAATCACTTTTAGAAATATTTGCAGTGGTTTAGAAGAATGTCCTTTATGTTAATGAAGATAGAATCCCTTGATGCATGATATTGGATATTAGAAAAGCTAAGGCATCTTATTCTGGGGGATATTAATGTTAAACACTTGGAATGTATTTAGGTTTTTCTTCGGATGCTTCTGCTAGATATTTCGTTCTCTGTTCTATTGAAAATATAGTGCGTTTGGGATAGTCTGTCAACATTGTGAACAGATAGGCAGTTTCTCCGTCAATAAAATTCTTCCTGTAGGTTGAAGCATGAGGTCTGGTTTCTGGTTTCCATGCAGATTCAATTATGTGAAATAACCTTTTTTAGGCTGCACTTCTTGCAGATAAGTGAAAGTGATTGTTATAGAAGCTAGACTCTGACTGCTAGGAAGATTGTGAATTCTCCATTGGTTATTATCAATCAGTTACTGTTGGTTCGACTTTCTTTTGTCTTTTCGGCTGTGTTTTCTTAAAGTTTGTGCGCAAGAATATGACAAATTTATCAATTTTTCTTGATCAAGGAAGTGCCAGAATGTGGGGGTTTCTGCATTAATCATTAGTTTTTACCGTTATTAGTTTGACTGTTTTTTTGGGCCAAAAAGTGACGTGTTTTGGTCAATTTCTCTGTAAATTTGCCTTTCTGTTTCCTTCTAAATTTTAGTCTTTGCACATTGTTGACACTGGATGTATATATTGGATACAAATAATTCATTTTCTAATCTTTTTTTTTTAATTTTTTATAACCATGTTATCTTGTAATGATTATATTGTATTTGCATTTTCAAATGTTTACTTGAAAAGGTTTATAGATCTGAAAATTCTTACGAACTGTGATCCAGGCCATTTTTAGTAAATGAGCTGGAACCTCAGCACCTTCTTCATGACCGACGTAAGGTTTATCAGGTAAGTGGGATAAGTTGCTCTCTTCTGTGGTTCAGTTCTGTTTCTCAAGCTTCTCCTTTGTTGACATATCTATTATAGATTACATAAATTATTTATGACTGAACACTCATTAGATTGTCTTTCTGTTCCCTACTTGCTTAAAATTAAGTTTCCGCGCAAGATATTATGAGCTTTTACTTTGTCCAAATTTCAAACGCAGAAGACTATGAGTGGCATAAAGTTATAATAATTTATGGACCTTCACTTGATAGTTTAAGCTTTGTAGTAGAGTTGGCTGGTGCTTCACGCTGTATAGTAGGATAATTCTGGTTCATACAGTTTTGATGAGAGAAAAATAGAGCATAGCTATGGCTATATACATATTTGATTGTCTTGTTGAATCTGTATAATGGGGTTTGTTCATTTCTAATTTTGTTTTGTGCCTTGAATTAATGGGGTGTGCTCATCTCTATACATATTAAGAGATAGACAGGGCTTATTTTATACTCTTTCTACAGAGGCCTGTTGAATTTGAAATTAAGGCCTGACCTGATGCTGCGTGATTCATCTGAATTCCTGCTCAAGCCATGAATAACCCTAATTTAGCTGTTCTTATGTTCAAGTGTTTACAATAAGAAAAAGAAAATTACTTTTGCCTAACAGTTTGTTTGAATATCTGCTCTCTGCTCAACTCTCTTAACTAAACTGACGATCATACTTCTATTTATACTTAATTACTGCCAATGTTACAATGAGAAAAAGAAAATTACTTGCGCCTAACAGTTTGTTTGAATATCTGCTCTCTGCTCAACTCTCTTGTAACTAAACTGACGATCATACTTCTATTTATACTTAATTACTGCCAACGCTCAATGTTAGTTTTCTGATATATCATGATTTTACTGATATTCAATTTTGGGGTGCAAGCATCTCAAATTGTTTGGAATCCCTGTTCCAAGATATGCCCTTGTAAATAGAGAATTCCCATTTCAAGAGCTGGATTATTTTATTGAGGAAGAAGATTTTGTTGAGGTTAATGGTGCAAGATTTTGGAAGCCATTTGTGGAAAAGCCTGTTGATGGTGAGTTTGTTTCTTGTATTTAAGGGTGAAACTCTTTCTTGTTGCTAGTTGTTGAGATTTAGGTCAATAAATTAAGCTTGTCAGTGTAAGATGTCATTGAACTTTTGAAAGCAAATGCGCATGTTTCGTTGAAAAGTATGCTTCACAAAAACAACTAATAGATATGATTGACTTTTGTCCGGATGCTTATACATGCGAATGAGCTTTGAGGGCAACTCTTTTTTCTTTTCTTCTCCTTCTTCTCAAAACACAAGACAATGAGGAAAAAAAGGCATGTAAAAGTGAAGTAATCTATAGATTAATGTCAAGATCCTCTCAATTTTCAAGTAGCAGCAGAGGGCCAATATGTGGAGAGGAGTGGAGTATTGGGCAACTTCGCTCCTTTTAGAGAAGGAAAAACAAGGAACTAAAGCATACTAAAAAACTTAATTAAGATTTGATTACGATCACATAACAAACCTAATAAAATATTGATCCTATAAAGAAAATAAGGATACAAGTAATGGAATTGAAGCCTCAAAAAGAGTAAACGGATAAAGGCATTAAAGCTGGAGGATAATCCATGTTAAATGTGATTTCCAATGAGATAACTCAATTAACCTGTGTGTGTATTTGGGGGAGTGTTCCTCCACCCCCCCCCCCCAAAAAAAGCCATTTTCATGGCAGTAAAACGCAGTTTTTTGGGGGGAGTTCCATGTATAAATATTACAGTGCACTCCCAATATGGAGAAACCGTATGCATACTTTGTCATATCCGTATACAAATAATTGGGAATGGATAAATTGCAAGCAGTCACTTCCAGTTAGCTAACAAGGACGTCCTACACACAATATATTAGGTATTTGGCATAAATATCTGTGTGGTCTTTCTGTCAAATATGCAAGACGTAGAAACACAATGATACAGCTACAGTCTTCGGGTCACAACTAATAATTGCTGTCATTCTTTCTTGTTCGTAGTGATAGACGTTTCTTGAAATTAGGAAAATCAACCAGATGTTGTGGATCAATATTTTGTCGAATTAAGTATTTCTTTGGCTTGTTGCTTGCTACATTGACAAAATCAAAGCAGTTAGACTTGTGACTAAATCTAATAATTTAATATTGACAAAATTTAAATTTATACTGTCAACATTCTTAAGTTACTTATTTCCGTGTAATGTTTTTATGGATATTTAAGTTCAAAAACCAAAGTTTCATATAAAATCAAAATAGAAATGAAGAATTGTGATTGATTACAAATAACATTTTGATTAGTTTTTTAACCCTTGTAAATTAAAAGTAAAACACTATCTGATATTGGCTGGAATCTAGTCAATAAGAGTAACATCAAAAGATTCAAAACACTTTTTTATGAAGTGTCTATCAACAGATGATATGAAAAGAAGTTACTTGTTAAATGCATTAGACACCACAACTAATGTAGAAAAATTGAACCCTTAATTTTTACATGCTAACATAAAGTAGCTTGTACAAAAAATGGAAGTCTTCATTTTGGCATGCTAACTGCTAAGCACATTGTAGGAGTTTGACTGTCCAACTTAAATTCTTGTTGACTTGAATAAACCAATTCATTATTCCCAAGTGTGTTTTTCTGTGTTTAAAACCCAAATGCATCCAGAATATATGATCTCATCATGATTGTCTTCTTGAAAAATTCTATATCCTGATGCAGTTGGTTACATGCCTAGCATCCAAAATAGATCGGCAAATATTGTTCATTGTTTATTTTCTTCTGCATGTGTTCAATAGTTACATGCCACCATAAGAGTATTTATGCTTAGCTAAATTTTATTTTGCCAACATGACATGTCCAATGGTCTATGTTCTCTGAACTCTGCCTTTGTTTTAATATTGTTAACTGGATGGGTTTTGGATGCCATTGGTTTTCATATTTGTAAAATTAAAGACTGTACATATTATTTATTTCTACAGCCTCCCTCCCTCTTTATATTTTTATATTGTAACATAGATGTATTGATTTTTTTTCCCCCAAGATGCTCTTATCCAGCAATCATTATTGAATAATATGCAGGATGCTATGTCAAATATTTAGTCATCATTGATCTGTTTCTAAGAAGCTTCTGAACGCAAATAGTGATCTTATGCTAGATTTATACCAATGTGCAAATACATATTCTCAAAAGTGGTATTAACTCTAATCTTTCTGCTTTTTTAAGGTGATAACCATAGTATAATGATATACTATCCCAGTTCAGCAGGTGGAGGTATGAAGGAATTGTTTAGGAAGGTGAGCTCTGGAATGATATTATAGGCTCCTTAATTTAGAAGGCTTATTGTTTTTGTAACATTGAAGGATGTGGAGAGCATCTAAATTCCCTAAGGTCATTGAAACTGTTGGTGTTGGGATGTTTTATCTGGATTCTGTAGTATGAATTATAAAAGCATTGTTTTCTATTTGTTCAAGTGCCTGTGAACTGAATACTTTTATTTTTAAGCACATATGTTAGGTAGGTATATATAGTTTTTTCGTCTTGAATGAATATATAAAATGTTGTAGACTTTTAGTTGGATTGTCAGCGACTATATATGTTTTTTGAGAGAAATGAATCAAAACCATTCCTCTGCTTTCTCCTAACAGCTTAAGTATTTGGAGGAGTTGGCTCGTTGACATGCCTTTTGGTACTTTCTGCATTTCCTGTCATTTTTCCTCAAGTCTTACGAGCAACTTTCTTTATTCAAATATACAATATTAGATTGGCAACCGATCCAGTGAATTCCATCCAGAGGTGAGAAGAGTGAGGCGTGAAGGCTCCTACATCTACGAGGAGTTTATGCCTACTGGAGGGACAGATGTTAAGGTTTGGCACCTTGAGGTTTATGTTGCTTTTTCTGCCTAAAAAAGTTTATATCACTTATGTCATTTGGAATATTTTTTAATATTTATTTAGACATGATTTTAATTTTTAAATAATTATAGGTGTATACAGTAGGCCCAGAATATGCTCATGCTGAGGCAAGGAAATCTCCTGTTGTTGATGGTGTTGTTATGAGAAATCATGATGGGAAGGAAGTAAGTAGCATGCCAAATATTCTAGCCTCTTCTCCCTTGAATTTATTTATGACCTGCGTATTTTTATTTTTGCTTGGTCTTTGCTCCATTTGGTATTACTAGACAGTAATTATGTGGATTAGCTGTCAATGCTTAGTCCAGGGTCAGAATTATTCTGTAAGATGTCAGCTTGTCATTTACAGTCTTATCCTCATGGTTAATGTTTTGCAACTCTAAAGCATTTTGTTGAAAAAGTGTATATATATATACATATTTTGGGTTGGCTGACAGATAAAGAAAGCATATGCCATTCCATTCCAATGCAAGCATGGATTGGTGGCTTGAAATATAGATTGAAATTTCTTGTTGAAGCATGTCTGTAATTTTTTTTTGGCAGGTTAGGTATCCTGTATTATTGACACCTGCTGAAAAGCAAATGGCAAGAGAGGTTTGCGTTGCATTCCAGCAAGCGGTAAGTTGTGTGCATGTGGTGACTCCTTGTCATACAAAGATTCCTTATTTCTTCTTACATGTGATTACTACATAAATGTTTGTTTAAACTGACGTCTTCTTATCCTGTTAGATTTATTCTCTCTAGACTTTTAGATTGACTAGTAATCCTATAGTTAATTGAACTTCTGTTGAATCTTTCCAATGGTCATATAAATTTTTCTTTTTACCTGAAAGGAGGTTTTAGCCCAACTTCTGCGAGCTCTTTTATCATGCTCTTGCATTTTTGCCTTCTTACTGAATTTTCATCACTGGCTTAGATTACGTTCAAAATGTTTTTAGCTGTGACCTATCTATCTTAACAAGTCCTATCATGAAATATCTTATTTATTTAAAATGAACTAGTGATTATTGCAGTAGATTTAATTGGATGTGTTGTATCTTGGTAACCTATTCTTTCAGAGAATAATTCAGTTTGTATGTAATGTTGTTCAATTAAATCGGTCCCAACGAAGAATTATCATCATGATAGTTTTGTGTCTTATACTTCATGTCCGACCATAAGTTTTTCTTATTGCTTGCAGGTTTGTGGGTTTGATCTCTTGAGATGTGAGGGACGCTCATATGTATGTGATGTGAATGGATGGAGTTTTGTTAAGAACTCACACAAGTAACTTTCTGTAATTACATTGTTTTGAACTTTTGATATTGGAAGCATAGTTGAAAATACATTTATGGTGATTACCTTTGCTTCTATATAATTGAATATCTTGAGATTAAGTTATTTTCCCTGGAATTTTTATTTGTGGTTTATTAGGAGAGTTTCTTTGCTGCTTGAAAATTTTAGTGTTTCATAAATGATGACTTTTTAACCATTTTAGTTAATATCTTTCGGGCCTTAAATTCTATGGACTTGCTATGTGATCCAATCTGGACCACTACTTATTCACTTTCTAGTAGTTGCCTTTATAACAAGTATGTGCACGGTCAATCTCTCGTCCAAAACCTTTGCAACTGATATGTCCAAAATTGAATAATATACTGAATTGGATGTTACCCAGCAGTTCATTTAGAATGCTTTCAGATGAATAATATTTTGATCAAGAGGACGCTTATGTATTGCAACCAAATGTTAAAGTACTGTGTATTTCAAAATTGAGGAAAGTAAAATGTTTTATCAATTCGAATTTTAAAGATCAATTACATCCAGTAAGTTCATGTGAAAAGAATGACCAAGAAGTTTAATAGGTAAATAGAATCATTGGTTCCTTTAGCTTATAGTTTTTCTATTTCAGCCAAATTTATGTATAGACGAAGTTGATGTGTTACTTTTAGCTTAAGCTACATGTTATCTACAGTATTTAGATGCCCCATTACAATATGACTGGAAAATAGTTATTCAAGCAAAAAAACATTCTTAATTTGTTAGCCTGCGTTGTGATAATAACAAATTTTAATCTTAAAAGAAGGAGAAAACTGTTTAAGACAGAAATTTGAAATCCTTAAATGTGTAATACTGTTAGGGAGAAAATTTGATGAAACAAATCCAATTTATGAGAAATTTTCAACTTGTTTGAAAAATACTCGCTATTTGCATATGTTCTAATGAATGCTTGCTTTCCCTCCTTTTACCTCGATGAATCTTACAATTTTGTTTCCATTGCTGCTATTGAAGGTACTATGATGATGCTGCATGTGTGCTGCGGAAGATTTTCCTAGATGCAAAAGCACCTCATCTTTCATCAGCAATTCCACCAACTTTGCCATGGAAACTGAATGAACCAGTTCAACCTTCTGAGGGATTAACTCGTCAGGGTAGTGGTATCATAGGAACTTTTGGACAATCAGAAGAACTGCGTTGTGTAATTGCTGTTATTCGTCAGTATGTTTCTTTTCCGTTTTTACCTTGGATTGGTTATATTAGTTAAATTCCATGCTCTTTATTGTTCACTTTTTTGTTTTGGCAGTGGTGATAGAACTGCTAAGCAGAAGGTGAAGCTGAAAGTTACCGAGGAAAAGCTGCTAAACATAATGTTGAAATACAATGGAGGACGACCTAGATCAGAGGTACCACTTTTTTCTTCTGGTGTTTCCGTAATATTCTTAAGTGACTGGATTTATTGATGCTTCATTCTTGATCCAATATTCCATTATTTGCAGACAAAACTTAAAAGTGCAATCCAGCTGCAAGATCTGTTAGATGCCACTCGAATGCTAGTGCCTCGAACTAGGTATATGACCAAAATAAACTTCATTATTGAGTATGCTGCATTATTGTCACAATATATGACAACTTCTCACTTTCCATTCCACCTCTAAGCTCAACTAAATTTAAGAAGATTGCGGCATAAATTTTTACTCCTCAAGGTTCTTTGTTATTGCTGCTTTTACTCCTCTTAATCCTGTCCCTGAATAAGATGTTTTCCCCAACTTTCTATCATTTTTACGATTGATACTCTTAAAAAAATATCATCAGAAGATAATTAAAACAAGAAAAAACAGAAATTACAATTTTTCACTGCGGAATACCTTATATTCATATACTTTCAACTGTATTTATTGGCCCTTTTGACATGCTGACTGATCATATATATATATATATATATATCTTATGCATGCCTTGTGAGTATTTCTTTACTTATTTCTGTTCCCTTGTCTATGGATATCTCATCCTTGTTTTCTTTTTAGTATTTTGCTTGAGAGATCTTGTATCTTATCAAATAATCAACGTTAAAGTTTGAAACTCTCGCTGATATATGCTTCTTTCATTTCTGTTTATAATTAATAGAAGCTGTTTCTCTTTTAATCAATCTATATTTTAATAAGCAAGAGTTTTGGATTAATCACAGTTATATGCATTTTATAGACCAGATCGTGAAAGTGATAGTGAGGCTGAAGATGTTGAACATGCTGAAAAGCTTCGCCAAGTTAAAGCAGTTCTTGAGGAGGTTATTAATTATCTTGACAGTGTTTTTTCCCAATGTTATTTTTTTTCCTATTACAAGCCTTGCTACGGGGCAAAAAATTCAGTCATCCTGCAAAATTGACTGCATTGATGTATCTCTTTGATTGACCTTGAATTTAAACTGTATGATGCCAAGATTACACATAAGCCTGGGTACCTAAGTCGCATAGGGAACCTTACTCCAAAAGTCAATTGTTGAGGTAGGAGAACCAACGCATTTGAATATCTCATTATGTATCCCATACGACTCAATGTGGGACCTAGTGTCTCATACTACCAAGTCTCTAATAATTGGCCCTCATGGAAAGCCAATGTATTGGCGGCTACATTCCATGGCACTTTACTCAGCTTCTTGCTGTTTAGAACCCTTCAAGTGTAGCCCTCTCTGGAACTGCCAACAACTTGGCTTTGATACCAATTGATGGATACCTAAGTGGGATGGGGAGCCCTACCAAAAGCTAGCCGTTAAGATGTGAGAACCAACCCACTTAAATACTATATTAAACATTCTATGCTACTCAATGTGGGACTTGGTGTCCTATACTACCAAGTCTCCATCACAAGATGGCATGCATATTGCTAATGCTAAGAGGAAGATACACTTCTACATATAATTTCCATATCCTGCATAACTGCAGTCCAGGTTCTCGCCTCTTGTTCAACGTTTAACTTTCTCTTATTTTCTCAATGATATCAGGGGGGACATTTCTCTGGCATATATAGGAAGGTTCAACTAAAGCCACTAAAGTGGATCAAAGTTTCAAAAAGCAATGGTGAAGGTGAAGAAGAACGACCTGTTGAAGCTTTAATGGTTCTTAAATATGGCGGTGTTCTTACACATGCTGGCAGAAAGCAGGTTCACTACAAAAATATCATTTTTTTTTTTTTGCTGAGTTTGAATTTGGCTATACTCCTATTGTTCCATTATTGTTGGGGTTAAACATGAATTTATGATGTTCAATGGCAATTGCTTTAATTATTATTTTCCCTTTGCAGGCTGAAGAACTGGGAAGATTTTTCCGGAATAATATGTATCCAGGTTATTTGAATCTCTTGCTTCATAGAATTCAATGATGCTATATGTGAAGAGAAGCCAATGTACTCCAAATTCTAATCACTAATGAAAAGCATTCACAATAACTAACTTTCTTAATTCAGTATCATAATAGAAGAATGATCACCGCCCCTTACTGCAGGGCTATATATAGACACCCAAAACAAACTTCAACCGAACTAAAACTTGGAACTCAACTGAACAACCAGTGGAATCATTGTATAATTCTGCTTGTCATAGCATATCCCTGGGCCTAAAAACCGTCAAGAAAATCCTAATCTACTGATTATAAACCATATATTGCCCCAAACTCCCGTGTACAAATCCTAGATCCAAAATTGCAGTTACTTCCTGCATTCTTTTTTCATCTCATACTGAATTACTTGTCAACCTAGTACTCCATTTCTTTTCAGGCCTATATTATTTTATTTCTTGGAACATCCTTCTCAGCAATGTATTTCTGGAGTTTATGCTTTTTTTTCTTGTAGCTATAAAAGTAAAAGTGCATAATTATGATATAATCAGCAGACTCTAGGCCATTCCATTGGTCATTTATACTTGTATTGTATGGATCGTTTTCTTTCAGAGAATTTTGGATTCAACATGCTAACTGGTTTAGGACTGGAGACACAATGGTCTTGAACTTGACTAATTTGTGTTACACACCTGTTATTGTCCCTTGTATCCTATTTTGAATGGCTATACTTGCCTTCCGTTAACTGTGTCGTTCTGCTATGATTGCATACCCCCTTCAAGCTGGTGAGTGGATGTTTTCCATTCCCACATTCATGACTGAGTCTTGAATGTTGAAACTAGACAATCCTTTAGTGAGTACATCTTCAAGCTGGTTAGTTGTATGTAGTTATGAATGAAGTACAAATTAGAGCACCAGCTAGTTTCTCTTTTATAAAGTGCTGGTTTACTTTAATACGTTTCATTTGAATGTGTTTCACTCTATTGTGGAAAATGTTGATAGCTGTGAAAAATCAGATTTTATTGCATTTATTTTTCTGATAAGGTCATGATTAGATGCTGACTGTATAGGGAATATTTTGCATTTATTGTAGATATCTCTTTTTCTTTGTAAATTCCCATACCATGTTCAAATGAAATATCAATGAAATCAATCATTCTTTTCCACAATGGCTGACTTGTTATAGTAAAGTTTCATTAGACTTTTCCACTTGATCTCCAAATCTTTGAAGATTATTTTTATCGATACTAGCTTATAGGTCCCCAGTATCATGGCTTTAAACTCAGCTTCCGCACTAGATCTAGCCACCCAAATTATTCAATGGTCTTGTTTAGGCTGCGTAATTCTTCCCTCTCCAATATGTGAACTCTTACAGCATCATACTCAATATTCAATACAAAGATAGCTATGGATTTGTTGGTTCTTCGCAAATTGGTTTGGAATAGCTGTATCTAATTGTGCTTCATCTTGGTGCTGTGGTAATGGTCGATTTCCTGCCATAAACCTTTCATTGCATTAGAATATTTAGTAATTCGTAATAGACATACTTCCCTGTTTAGTGTTGGAGAGATCTTGGTATTGATCTCAGATATTCGTGCTGTATCTTGCATTTTTGAGTAGGTTTCTTGAGAAGCATCCTGGATCTTCTGTGCCAATTTCAGAAATATACACAGAATTCAGGTGTCACAGAATTCCACAGCCGTGAAGTGATCATGGAATTTGCATCATCCCTGGCGTCAAAGTTTAGTTCACTGGTTTAGGATTCATACGAAGAAAATGAATCAATTTAAGAAAGTATGAACAGCTGTGACCTCTTCGAGTAATTCTTTCCACTCAACCTGTAGGTAGCCTAAATACTTAGCAATCATGGCAATACATAATTGGTAGCTTTGATCACAGACGATTCAGTGGTTTGGGTGGGCAGTAAACAACTCAAACATGGCAGGGGTATATAGAAAAGAGGCTAGCTACTTATTTTGGCTTGACCATGGTGGAGTGGTGGCATTATGCACACCCATGAGTAGGCATGTGAGATTCATTGCATAGAAAGATTATCAGAATAGGCTTTGTCACATGGGTTTACCTATCAAGCAAGTCTGAGATGGTTTCTTGGTGGTTCCGGTTTTAAGATGAAGGAATGAGAATCAAAATGGCAAAGGAAGCAGCCACAGACATATCTGGACTGGTGCAAAAAATGCAACCCAGATCTGGAACTGGATGAAAATGCCATGAAATATTGGCTAGATGAGAAAACAAGGTTATTGAGAACCAAGTCCTGATACCATAACAATGAATGTCAAAAAGAATTTTTTATGATAATTAGGCAATGAGTTTACAAGTGGTATTTATGCTGGAGTCAGACTGAATGGCAGGAGGCAAATAACCAAACTGATAATTGCAGATATTACTCAACCGACTAATTACAATAATATCTAACATTATTTTGTACGAAAAGGCCTTATCATCTTGTGTTCTTTTAAAAAAATGCAGGGGAAGGTACAGGTCTTCTTCGACTCCATAGTACATATCGTCATGATCTTAAGATTTACAGCTCTGATGAGGGTCGAGTGCAGGTATTGGAAAATCTGAATAAATGAAGACTTAAAAGAATCAGAATCTTAATTAAAGTTGTAGCAAATAAAAATGTGGGATTTTTAACAACTATGTCTACTAGACTTTAGTTAATTTCTCCTCTCCATTTGGTATAATTAGTCCTTTCTTGAAAAATGCTTTTGTTAACAGATGTCTGCAGCAGCATTTGCCAAAGGTTTACTTGACTTAGAAGGGCAGCTAACACCAATCCTGGTTTGTGTTCTTTTCCCGAAGATTTTGGCCTGTTCTTTGGGTTGGATTTTTTTTTCTTTTCTGACTGACATGTGTACCTATCTTAAAGGTCTCCCTTGTTAGCAAAGACTCCTCCATGTTGGATGGACTTGACAATGCGAGTATTGAAATGGAAGAAGCCAAGGTCAGTAACCTGTTTATAATTTTCGTTCTTTTATATTATAGGAATTTTAGTATCTAAAGTACCAAACTTTAATTAAAGTCCCTTTATCATATAAAAGAAAATTTTAGGATAAAGAGAACAAAACAACTATGTAAATTAATCCAACAAATTGGTTCTTTGCCTCAAGTTACTCAATAACATATTAACTTGAGAAGAACGGCCCCATCCACTGTCCAGAATGGCAAGTCCAAATTATTAATTATTATAACCCTGTTCTCCTATGCATAAAAGCTCTTTCTCTTGCTTTTAGGACACTGGTACAGTATTTTCTGTACTACTTATTTATTTTACTTTTATGTATTGGTTGGATTCTTTGTAGGCTCGGTTAAATGAGATTATTACCTGTAGTCCAAAGATGGCTCATAGCAATGGATCATCTGAATTTCCTTGGATGAAAGATGGAGTAGGGTTGCCGCCCAATGCATCAGAATTACTCGTCAAGCTGGTAATATTTTGGAATATAGAAATGCATTATAGTAGTTTAGACCTCTTGTTCTGAGAATCAGGGCAGACACAAAAATGCACTATCTGAATCAATGAATATACTCTAGTTCTTCCAGGTTCTGCCTTGTTAGGATTTTATTATTTAATTTGATTTTATCTTTATTATCAATAAATTAGAATGACACTCAAGTTACTCCTGCATTTCTTGGACTAGCTTCACAAGTTTATTTTCCAATTTATGGCAACATAATTACTTTGAGTTCAGGCATAAATCCCAGCGCATTTTATACTCTGGAGCATCAAAATGATTTGAATTACTGTTATTTACAGCTAGTTTTTATTTTTTGACAAGCTGGCGTTAACAGTAAATTGTATCAAAATTTAAGCTTAGTTGGAAAGGCTGCAGGATATTCTAAAAACTTTCGTGAAGCACTCCCTGTTTTAACCAACGTTAGACTCTCTAAAGTCCCCTTTCGCATACCAGCATAATGAATAGATGGATTACACCATTCCAAATGAAATGACAATAATGAGAATCAAGTAAAATGAGAACAAGAGAAACAAATGAAAATGGAATCACTTGAGGGAAACAAAAAAGAATTAACGAGCACAAGGAATAGAATGCAAAACAACCACTTTGAGGAACAGAAATTGATTTTATTTTATTTTTTTCAGTTACTGTAAATGGAATTTTCCCAAGAATTTTTATAGCATATGTTATTACAATATGGGAAATTAAATTTTTATTGAAAGTGAGGCAGATGAACGGGACAATTGAATCTGTTGGACAAGAGTGATAGATTGACTTTAACAATGGGATGTAGGATTAGAGCCTATTATCTTTCTAGATAACAACAGCAGCAACAACAACAAGCTTTATCCCACTAGATGGGGTTAGTTGTATGGATTGTACGACATCATTGTGATCTATCATATATCAAGCTTTTAGAAATATTATTTACTAAGAGATATCTTTCTAGATAACATTGTTTCTAAATTATTGCGTATAGGTTTTCACTGTTCATAGATGTTAATCTATTCTAGTGAATATTTCTAGAAACAGGGTAGGGACATGCATAACTTGTAATCATTATGATCATTCTTTTGTAATTCCCATGTATATCTTGTTCAGGTGAAATTAACTAAGAAGGTCACTGAACAAGTACGACTACTTGCCATGGATGAAGATGAGAAGCTTACAGAAACAAGCTCATATGACGTAATTCCTCCTTATGACCAAGCAAAGGCACTTGGCAAGACAAATATTGACATTGATCGCATAGCTGCTGGATTGCCCTGTGGAAGTGAGGGGTTCCTTCTGATGTATGCCCGCTGGAAAAAGCTTGAAAGAGACTTGTATAATGAACGCAAGGAGTATGTATTAGCTATATTTTTACTCAATTTTGTTCTCCTTCTACTTTATTTATTTATTTTTTTACTTATTATAGAGCTAAGATAAGGAGTGCTACTAATGCATTCAAAAATTTAAATGATAAGACCCCATCTCCTGTCACTATGAAAACTCACAAAAAGGAGATATAAAAAGAATGGCAAAGGGCAGAAAATATGGTACTATGGGTTTAGGAGAAAATCCTATGAGTAAAGACCAGCTGACACATCAGAGTAGGGGAGTAAAGCTAGTGTTTTGGCAGAGGCAATCTACTTTTTGGCTTTTTAAATCTATATGTTCGTGTAGAAGAAAAGTGTGGAGTATTTTGAATATTGAGAGTGGTAAGGAGAGCTCTGGCCTCTCGAATGCCAGGTTAGGGGTGGAGGAAGTCATCTTTCTTCATCATTTTATCTTCTGCTTAGTGTATGTTTGTAAGTGAGTGACTTATATTTTGTGATTGTTGTTTGGTGGAGTGTATTTTGTGCTGTTTCTGTTTCAGTACGTTGTAATTTTCAGTTCCTTATTTCGCTGTAATCCAACTTTGCTATTCGGTAATAGTAATTTTCAGTCCCCATTTTTGGTGTAGTTTCTGGTTTATGCTTGTTTAAAGCTTATTAGAATAGAGGGCTCCATCAAAATCACTTAAATGAACAGAAAATGTCACACTTGGAGTTTGTAAAATCTAGTTATTCGTAGGTTCAAAATTCATTACATACCCCTTGCTTTCATATGAACATCATTGTATCTTTCTTCAATGGAATTGTTCTCAAACTAAATATGTCTGCTACTGAATTCATTTCATAAAATAATTTTCCCTCATGTTATTATCTATACTTTGTTTTATTTTTTTTAAGAAGTTAAACTAGAAAAAACAAGTGTTATACTGTTCATTGATTAGGAGTTAAGTGTCATGAATTTCTATTAAATTCGTAATTAATATTTCATGATGATATTTTTCATTAATTTTTCCGAAAACATGAAGAGGAGATCATGCGCGTTACATTATTTTTATGGGCTGCCACTGCACTTCTATAATTTTGTTTTCTGCTTGTGGAAAATGGATTTGCAGACACACTGATGTTGTGTTTTCTTGCAGCCGCTTTGATATCACTCAAATTCCTGATGTTTATGATTCATGCAAGTAAGTATCTCATAAAAGTTTAAGCTTTTATGCTGATATACTCTTTCCTAGCCCATAAGAAACAGGATTCTCTTAGAATTTTCTCATTGTCTGAATGTAATCTGAACCAAAAAAGCATTGCGATAATGTTTTAGGAAGTTATTAACAGGTTTTGATGCAAACTTAGATTTAATTTTAATTCTTAAAACCTCGTGATACTAATAAAAATGTGTATGAGCAGATAAGTTGACTGGAAATTTATCTTAAATCTGAGATTTTGGTTCTAAGATTAAATCGACTAGATACTAGAATAATGAAGGGGAAATGAACTATGCTCAAAGATACAGCTGACTTGATCTGAGATTTTTTTTTTCCTGTGGTCTCAGAATTGTTCTGACATTCAATCCACTAGATTTTCAAGTTAATTAGAATGAAACAAAAATGGATACAATGAAAGTAGAGGATAGAGAAGAGATCCTAGTTATCCTGATTTAAACTCCTGTCTGACATCCAGTTCTCTTGAACTTGGTGGGATTTTCACACCCTCAGAGTATAGGAGCAGCTTTAGCACTAAGGTTTCTAAGCTCAACTAGAACTTCACATCCAGTTCTCTTGAACTTGGTGGGATTTTCACACCAGAAAATCAGAGTATAAGAGCAGCTTTAGCACTAAGGCTTCTAAGCTCAACTAGAACTTCTGTTAAGGTTTTTCCACAGCTCATCCCCTAAATAACTAATGCACTCTTGGAAGGATTTTACAAATGAAATGATTGAAAGATATGTACTTGGAAACATTAGATGGTTTAATGATCGGGCAGGACTACCGTGAAATTTTCAAAGATAATTCATTTAGCTTCTGTATCTTCTTTATCGATGCCCTTCACCTTCAGATATAAAACGTTAAGAATTTATCCATTGCATGTTTGAATTAGTCAATCATAGAAGAAAGATTATGTGCTTTATGCTTTGTTCTCCTGTCTCTTGCTCGTTGCAAGACACTAGCTGAGATGTATGGAGCATAGAGAGGCCATGGTATTGGTTGTGGCTTGATCAGATCATCTCTTCTTTCAGAGCACGGCATACTTTTGCTCAAGCTATCTTATCCCCATTATTGGCATTTACTGCAAGCATTGAATGCACTCGAAGCTTGTCAGAGAAGACAAAGTGGAATAAACTAAGGGAAAAGGACACTTAAGGGTTCAACACATACATTGACCTCTAAGAACCTTCAAAATCAAAATCCTTGGGACCATAGAAATAAGTAACCATTTGTCATCTTAATGTTCGGTGAAGGAATGAGCACAGTTTGGGGAAATATTCAATTATTCTATTTGTCTCTTACTGTCTATCACACTATGTACTGATTAAACTAATCCACAATTTTATGTGTTAGAAGATAAGTTTGGTGTTTTAAACTTCTCTAATTCTATATTTTTCTTCTACAAATCATAAGTTTGACTTACATTTATACTCTACAGGTATGATCTCTTGCACAATGCTCATCTTAATCTGGAAGGACTGGATGAGCTTTTCAAAGTCGCTCAGGTACACAAAAGTACATCATGATATCTCAATGCTTTCAAAGTGGATTTAGTGGATTGCAAATTTCTTCTCTTATTTGGAAAGTGAATGTCTGTTTATTTTTTCTACTGCACTCATATCCTTTCTAAAACAGAAGTACGTACTTCTTGCTCAACTTCCAAGTCTGAGCACCAATCTCTGCAAGTCCATTCCCCGCAAATTCTGAACTGTGTTTACAGCTAAATATTTATTTTAATTCTTTTCTTTGTTTTTATTTTTGGGGGGTGGGGGGCGTGCAACTAATCAAGCCATTTTTGAAAGTTGTCCCTTGCAGAAAGCGAACAGCTATAAAAAAATGGACGTTCACAAATTGTGTCGCTGATGGTGTTATTTTATTTGCAGGCACTCGCTGATGGTGTTATTCCAAATGAATATGGAATTAACCCAAAGCAGAAGTTAAAAATTGGCTCTAAGGTATGGCCATGCTGTAAGATACATCACAAATTGCCTCTTTACGTTATCAATATTTGATTCATTTTCTTATTCTGTCCTTGCATAAATTATGCTTTCGACTTTTATAATTGCGATGTCAATCCTCATTATTGATTCTGATTTGAGCCAATACTATGTTTTAACCCCAAAGAAGTACTTGTGAAATGTGAGGTCTGAAACTGTATGCGATGTAATGACCCGTATGTAGCATTTTGTCTTCAGTTTCATAACTGGATATTGCTTTGGTTATTGATACTCAATTAAATGCATTTCTCTATATGTTTATTTGTTACTGTACCCCCCCCCCCAAAAAAAAAAAACGGTGGGGGGGGGGTTAACCCTCATTTCTGTTGTTTTGGTTCAGATTGCACGTCGTTTACTGGGGAAAATTTTAATTGACTTGAGGAATACTCGTGAGGAAGCCATTAGTGTTGCCGAGTTAAAGAGTAACCAAGATCATGTTTCGTCGACCTTAAAAACAGAACAGGAAGATATGGAGTCCAATTCAAAACTTTCAAATAAAAATGATGAACCAAGAAGATCCAACACTTTTAGTGATATTTCTTTGGATCAAGATGATGATGATGATAAAGAGACAAAATATCGTTTAGATCCAAAGTGAGTATCAGAACACAATTTGATCTTCTGCATTACTATTATGTTGTGTTTTAACCATCTAATTTCCCATCAGGTATGCAAATGTGAAGACACCTGAGCGTCATGTGCGAACAAGACTGTACTTCACATCAGTGAGTGCTTTATTGCATTATTTTTGCTTCATGATGGCAGGGACTTTTACCCTGTATCTTCTATGGATAAGATTTCCAGTGTTTTGTACCATATGATTCATTTAAAACGGTGAAATGAATGTGCTTAGTTATGTTGCATGCCCCTTTTGTCCAAATTAATTTTCCATCGAAGAGAAATTTAATGTTCGAATTTTCTCAACATGAAAAGATTTCAATTATAAATTTCAATCAAAAAGTTGTTATTTTAGACAAGATTTATCCATGTTGCTTTTGTTTAATTTCACTTCCGTATTTTACGGTTCTAATAGATGCTAGAGATTTGTCAATGACCTTCTTGGTCTCTTAATTGTGCCATTGCCATTATTACTTGCTAGTCAAGTTTACTTTCTGTTATAAATTCAATATTTTGTTTTGATATTATAAAGTCAAATGATATTATATCTTGTATTGATTTCTTAAATGACATCCTATTAAAACATAAAGAAACAATGATACATCGGAACAAATTTTATATAATGAAATTATATGTAGAGCTCAACCGTTAATATCTCTGTAAATTCATGCATCCGAACTGACAATGATTGTATAATTTTCCCCCTATTTGAACAAAATTGTTCTATTCCGATTCATTTACTTTTTTCCACGATTATTTTTATTTGCAGGAATCACATATCCATTCTCTTATGAATGTAATTCGTTATTGTAATTTGGATGAATCTCTTCAAGATGAAGATAGTCTGGTTTGCTATAATGCGCTAGAGCGCCTGTATAAAACAAGGGAGCTTGACTATATGAGCTACATTGTGCTTAGAATGTTTGAGAATATAGAGGTGCGTCATTTTAGAAATTTTCCTGTCAGTATTTCTTATTTTTTACCGTTAGAATGAAAAAAGGGAGAATTATATTCAAGTTTCACTTAACATAATTAATTACTCTCGACTTCATTTACAGCTGAACTTATGAGAATGACAATGAACATGAGAGTAATTAATTGTGTTGAGTGAGACCTTAAAATAATTCTCTAAAAAAAAAAAGAGTTCCTCAATGCTCTACATTCTATTGCTTGATAATTTGAATCATTGTTGCCCCGTAATTCCAATGATGGTCATAACTGTCAAGGCTTAATTTGATGTTTTGTTAGACGCAGACGTTGGTTGCATGTTTATGATTGTTATTTTATTCAACCTTTAACTGCGAAAACTGCAGGTGGCTTTAGACGATCCAAAAAGGTTCCGCATAGAGTTGACCTTTAGTCGTGGTGCTGATTTATCCCCCTTAGAGGTAAAGATCCTCAGTCAATATAGTTTACCAAAGACGAATGAATTATGAAGGAACGATTTAAGTTCCTTTGGTTTTTACTGTTTTACCTTTATTGTTTGCGCGGTATGCAATAGTGTTCATTAGGTTTCAGGATACTTGTGTTGTGGTGCCATTTGGCTGAAGCTTTTATGGGAGTATTTTGACCAGAAGCTTTGACATAGGATCACTTCTTATAAGCTTTTGTACGAAGAGAACAGTTATTTATCTCATTAATGTTTTCGTGATGTGTGGAATATGCGAACTTGCGTTTGAAGAGAAGAGCTGATATAACAAAGGGTGTAATTTTGGTGTTTGACAGAAGAATGATAGTGAGGCGGCTTCATTACATCAAGAGCACACCTTACCTATTATGGGTCCTGAAAGGCTGCAAAAGTAGGATCGTTTCTGTCGTTAGAGAAAGTGGAGAAGATGATTCGTCCATTTGCTATGCCAGCAGAAGACTTTCCTCCCCCAGAAACACCTGCGCAATTCCCTACCTATTTTCCTAAGAGCGTCCTCGAGCGCCTGGTAAATTTCTGGCCTTTCCATAAGCATGCCAATTCTAATGGCAAGTAGCTGCTTAGATAATTTTTAAAGCCAACAGCCGCCCTGGAAAAAAAAAAAAATTCCTTTTTTCTTTATATCTCTTCTAGTAATTTTAGAAAGTCTGAATATTAGCCCTTTTTCCCACGGCAAGGGTTGGGACGTTAATTTTGAAAAGAAAATCATCATTGAAGAAAGGCGCATTGTATCATTGTACGGAAAGGAATTAATGTCAGCAAAAAAAATATTTTTCTCTATATGTTTCCTTAAATTAAATTTCAGTGCAATGCGAATCATGTGATTATATATTTTTTCTTAATTCTTAATACTCCTCTCTTGTCGAACTTCAATTTTTTTTATCTTATTTCTGCTGTTACTGCTTTGATGAGGAAATCAAATTATACACATAACGTTATCAATCCTACTACGCTGTATTTTTCTCTACTATCGCCATGTTATTTTCAAGCTGGGTCCAAAATTGCGTAATGCGTACTGATCATGCATAACTTGGAGGGTCAATTATGTTATCCGCATTGGGATGGGTTTCGATCATTTGTGTCATCACATCAGTCTTGATTCTTATATTTTAGATGTCTTGAATTCGAAGGGAGAATATCTATGGAATATAGAATTGGGTACAAGTGAAAACAAGTAATTGTAATTTCACCAGCAATCAAGAGATCGTTCAGAGATTTGGTGGTGACTTTATGGATACGGATGAGGTGCAGTGGTTGAAAAAAAAAAAAATCCTCACCTTGAATTTTTATCTAATAACTAATAAAAAATAAGTGTATAAAAAGGTTTACAACCATGTTTTATCTAAAATTAAACTGTGATAAAAAATATATATTTTAATAAATCTATTAATCACTTATTTAGATAATATAGATTTTATCTAGATGCTTAATGTGATATTAATTTTTTATTTTTTAATAAATTGAGTATTCAAATATACCTTTATAAACAATATTAAAATTTTTTATTATCCTTATAAAATTTTAATTTTGGATAAATATAACATTAAAAATAACTATTCAAAAAAAATATTTTTTAAAAAATCATAAGTTAAAAATTTTAAATATGAAGAAAAATCAAATTTGAATTACAAAGTATATTTGAATAGTGAAATTAAAAATTAATATAAACTGAATCATTTAAATAAAATTGAATTGTTTAAATTAGTAATAATAAATTTATCAAAAATATCATATTTTTTATAAATTTTTATTTTGGATAAAACATGATTGTAAACATTTGTATACACCTATTTCTTATCCGTCATTGCATAAAAATTCAGGGTGAAGATTTTTTTACTTTCCAACCACTGCATTATTTCCCACTACACCTGATATATCCATTATAGGAGCACCTTCCAATTTCATTCCTCGAGAATTCTGGATATTTGTTTCACTCTCCAACCCTTGCTTTAGCGGGCCTTTTTCTCTTTTATAAATGGAAAATAAAGTTAATAAAAGACGATAGGAATGTGCTTCCAAGTCATTGTGGTCGAATCAAAAGGGTCGATCTTCTTGGCGTGTACGTATTAGCCCCCCAACAAATTGGGACCAAATCATATGTATATAATCCACATCAAACGCCTATATTGTTATCCTAAAAAAAATTATTAATTATTTTTAAGAGTATCATATCAATTATATCCCGATTAAGAAATAATTCAAATGAAATAATAATTTATATTTATATTCTTTCAATACATATTTTTATTTATATTCTTTCAATACATATTGGGTTGGTTTAAATTATTCCTACACGTGGCAGTGTGTGTGTGTGTGTGTGTGTGTGTGTGTGTGTGTTCCTATTCGTCCCGACCTTCGGCCCCTCCATACATTGTTAGTTGTTATTGACAAAATTCGAGAATATATCAAAAAAAAAAAAATATTCCACTTGAATACTAATATTATCGCTTAGGGCCAATAAATTGCCTCAATAACTGCTGCCGTAACTAAGCTGCTATCAGAATAATTCCTCTCATTTATATTAAAATTTGATAATATCTGCTATTTTTAAGGAACTATTAGGCATGTCTGTAGGTTAAATGACGTCACGCAGTAATTAAATAAAATATCTTTTCACATTGGGCACAAATTTTCTCAACTATACTGTCCATATACCTTGGGGGAAAATAAACGCAGTTATATAGGTTTTAACCGTCACAGCAATCTGCGACTGGGCATATTTTTCTTAGAGATACAGGAACTATACAATGTCAAAAAGAAACGAGTAAATTGATTAGGTTGAGCTTTGTAAGAGAAACATGAAATTGATTCGGTACACGGAAGGATATAATATCGTAAAACTAAATAAGAGAATCACTATTGATTTGTGCTTTAATTTGTTTTTTGTGAAAGAAAAAGGTGCCAATAAGGACCAAAAGAATGCAACTTTAGTGTTATGCATATTTCAAACAAACACTTTCGGGTTTTACAATCAAATTGATAACATCTGTGTTGACTTCGTGCATCCTTGCATTATACGTACCATTTTTGGTGCGAATTTGTCATCTTTTTTCCAGCTAATTTATTATTTTACTATTTTTATCTTGAAAGAGAGAAAACAATTTATTTATCTATTTATTTATTATCAAATATTTATTTTAACTAAGTAAAAATATGTCCACTCCATCTTGTAGTAAAGAAAATAAAACAATCAACCATCGGGGATATGGTGCAGTTTAGCTGAGAGAAGAGTATTAGCAATTGCTAGAGCCACTTCAATCGAAACAAAATAATAAAATATTTACAACGTTATTATAATTAGGAACATCAGTGTAGATTCTTTTTAATATATTAAAATGAACGATTTTTGGGTGTAAGCAATATATATGTATAGGAGCAAGAAAATGCACCAATAAATTAATTGATAATCAAAGCGGCAATTATTAAAACTCAAGAGTCGATGCCTAAACAGTCTTTCAAGGATCAAAATTGCATTGGTAATCCATGACCGCCTAATAAAATTCGTGTCCCTTATTTATGGAAAAGGGCGTTAACCTCGTCATTTTCTTGTAAAATAATTTTCAAATTAACCTCAAATAATAATGAAATGAAGAGGGAGAGAAGAGAAGGAAAAGATCAGGTCCATGAATATTGTCCCGTTGCGTTACACCACTAATATATTGAAACCTTTTTTTCTTACAAGCATAAATAACCTAATTCTATCCATTTATGAAAGGTGTATTTAGATTTTAGAGTAAGTTTGAAACGAATAAATATGGTATTGTGTAATGTGTATATGAAGCCTCCATGCTGCATCAAGGATTAAGAATACACCTATTTGGAATGTCCCAAAAGAATCGTTGTGATAGCTTATTAAGGATTTGAATGAATATGTATTTTTTACTGAGATATACAATGATTTATACGTAAGTACAAGTTAGGTGCAATGAGGCAAGAGAGTTGAACCACATCTTCTTTGGAAGGAGACACCCCATCCACCTTGATTGTATAGTATTTAATGGAAGCAAAATTTCTAAAGATGATATCATGAATTTTCATGAATATATGTATACACACATACATATATTATTTTTTATAAAATATAAAATTGTCTCTCTCTTTCTAATTGAAAGTGAACTTCATGAATTTTACATATTCTTAATTTTAGATGATTCATTCTTATAATAGATAACAGGTGTGGACTTTTAACCCGTTTTTTGGTAGTTGTTTAATTCTTATATTAACAATTATCAAATAACAACTGATTTTTCATTAAATACCATATGTAGTGAAGATTAACAGAGAAAATTAGTATTTTTATTAAGGACACCAACTAATTAAAGTTGGCATAAATGATAAAACTCTTATTATATAAGCAAGTGATTAAGTTTGACATCAACTATTGTATATGTGATAAGTTTAGTTAAAAAAAGAGAACGCACCTGGAAAAAAAAAAAAAAATAAACCACACACACACACACACCTATTAGGAATGTTAAAAAGGAAAAAGAAATAAAAATAAGCGAGGATCGATAATCCAACAAATGTGTTTTTGGGACTTTTTTTTTTTAAGACGAAATTACTTGTTTCTCTCTACTTCCGACCGTCAGCTGCTTCTCAATAGTGAAAGCCTTCCTTAATCCTTGCTTCGGTGGACACACCAATCATGTATGTATGTATGTTGATATATTAATCTATTAATATTTATTTTATTAAAATTAAAAAAAAATTATATTCATTGAATATTATTAAATATTTATTATTATTATTAAAATATTTTTATAATTGTAAATTCTTTATGTCAGTAAAACAGAGCACGTTTCCCATTTTTTTTTCCTTTCTCTCTGAACTTCATTCAATCTATTACATTTTTTTGGGGTTATATATTTTTTCTATGTTTTATGTATTACTTATAAAATTTCTTAATAAAGTATGTCTAATTTCATCAGTAGTATAAATACTATATATTTTAGCCTACAAAATTGTAGCATCATAATGGGCAACGAGAACGGCTCTGGATTGGTCGTTTTCTTAATGATTTTGTCTTATTTCCCCCCCCAAAGGCGTGACACTGGAGATAAATATATTTATAGCTTCAGCAAAAATAAATAAATAAATCAAAATCATCTGTGTTGCTGCCAGATAATGTACGGTAGGCATGGCGAATTTTATCCGTACACTTAAAATATTAGTGCCACCTGAGGTTCCTTGCCTCCTAGGGAGTTGGCACAACACATGCAAAATGTTCCACCGATCTTTTTTTGTAAATAGTTTTATTAATTTTATTAATATTGATGTAAAAAAATATAAAAAATAAAAGTGTGTAAAATTTTATATATATTCTTATATAATAAATCAAAAAATAATGTTATGTTATTTTTTTATAAAGATAATTTTAAAATATTTTTTAAATATTATTAAGAAGATGTGTCGTGATTTATAAATCAAACCAAATGAATCTTTAAAAAGTATCTTATAAAAGACTGAAGGGAGTAATATATATCCCATCCTTCAATGATAATACCTGGTTTGGTACTTTGTAATTGGGATTAGTGAAGTGAAGGTAGGAGTCTCATTATGAAAATTTACTTGTTTTGGTATGTAGGAATTGGTTTTTCAAGGGACCGCAATTTTATAAAAAAAATTATGAAACTCAAATTCCATCATGCATCCATAAGAATTCGATTTCAACATTCTTACTTGTATAAAATTTTTATCCCACTTTATCATTATAACAAACATTTTTTTATTTCACCTTTGCTTTCACTTCTA